CCATCTTTTTTTGAGGGGGAGAGAAGAAACAGCCCTGGTTTCCCCGCCAAAAGGGATGCCTCCCCGAATAGAAACCTTTTTTTTTTGAGGGGGAGAGAAGAAGCAGCCCTGGTTTCCGTGCGTGAAAATCCTCCTGCCGAAAGTCAGGCTCTCGAAGGCTGCTGGGCAAGTCCACAGAAACAGCCCTGGTTTCCCCGCCAAAAGGGATGCCACCCCAAATAGAAACCTTTTTTTAAAAGAAACAGCCCTGGTTTCCCCGCCAAAAGGGATGCCACCCCAAATAGAAACCATCTTTTTTGAGGGGGAGTTTCCCCACCAAACGGGATGCCACCCCGAATCAAAACCTTTATTTTAGGGGGGAAACCGCAAGCATCTAGAAGGCATGCGAATCTGGCTTGCCAAACGTCAGGCTCTCGAAGGCTGCTGAGCAAGTCCACATAAACGGCGCTTGTTTTCCCCACGTGTCAACCCGTCAACCCCACGTGTCTGGAACCAGACCGCCTGAGCCCCCTAGCGGTCTTCACTTCTCAGCCCCCCTGGACAGAGCCATATCCAGAGTGCTGTAGCACTCTTTCAGATGCGGCGGGAGCATATGCAACAAGCCGCGCGGATACTGACAGCTGAACCAACATCTGTCTTTTGGCTCCGCGTGAAACTTAAACCACTTTGAGCACCGCAGCTTGAGGGCACCCGGCTTTTTGCCGCCCATTGCCAAGTGCGGCTGAAGACTGCACGAAGGGTGAATTCTGCATCCCCCGTACTTGTACTTCTTTTGCTTCTCAGAAGAAGCCGGCACGCTGCAGTCCAACAGCTCCTTGAGAAACTCATCCTCTCCGCGCAGGGTCTCCGCCCTGTCCGCGAGCATCCGCGCCCGGTCCGCGCACAAATTCGGCAGGAAGTCGACACCGCCCTCCACATCAGACGCCACATCTGTGAAAAAGTTCTCAGAGTCACTCTGCAGCTCCGAAGCCCCATCCGCAAATGGGCCCACCAGAGATTCGGGACTTCCATCTTCGTCTGAGGAATCCTGAATCGCCACCGTGTAGCCGACTGTCCTGGAACGCATAAACGATTGCAAGCTCAAGAATGCCGCAAGCACCAAACATCACCAAAGACAGAAAAAAAGTTGACTAGCGCCTGGCGCCGAGACGCAGTGCCCTCGGACCGCATTCTGTTTCTTGGGCCACACAAGTCTGATCCCAGTAGAAGGCCTTGTACCGCTTTGTGGGAGGACTGTCCGACCAAGACATAGGGCTTCTTGGGGGTCCTTGAGCAAGCCACATGTGCACACAGCGAGCGGATTCTTCTGCCATGCGGGGCACGCGGATTCACAAAAAAAAAATCTGAAGAGCCGAATACGCCAAAAGAAGCCACGAATCAGAGAACTGCGCACAAGTCAAACCGCATTTGTGGGCATGTCTCCAGCTAGTGATCTCGAGATGCGTCCGGTCCGGCGCTAGCGCCAATCCATGAGGCGCGTGGGCGGTGTCAATACCGCTTGTGATAGGTGTATGTGTAAATATATATATATATAACTATATATATGTAAATGTGATTACTCATTTCGCACGCTAGCTTCTGAGATCTTGCCGCCGTGAGATGAGAAACCAAAGATGCGCGTGAGCGGGTGTGCTTCCCATTTGGCAGCCATGGATACAGTGCTGAGCGGGTGCACTTGAACGGGTGTGCTTACCATTTGGCAGGCATGGGTACAGTGCTGAGCGGGTGCGCTTGAGCGGGTGTGCTTCCCATTTGGCAGGCATGGATACAGTGCTGAGCGGGTGCACTTGAACGGGTGTGCTTACCATTTGGCAGGCATGGATACAGTGCTGAGCGTGTGTGCTTGAGCGGGTGCGCTTACCATTTGGCAGGCATGGATACAGTGCTGAGCGGGTGCACTTGAACGGGTGTGCTTACCAATTGGCAGGCGTGTGTACACATAAAGAGACTTATACCGTGTATATACATATATGTAAATACCCATATATTTATACATATTGCTTTGCTTCTGATGATTGCTCTTCCACTGATGCTTTGCTGGTGAGCTTCTGAGCTTCTCCCTTGGATGCTCTGCTTCTGAGTTCTAGGCTTCTGAGCTTCTCCACTGACGCTCTGCTTCTGAGTTCTTGCATAGTAGTCCGTGTAGTCGATGGTCTCGATGTAGTCCTTGCAAAAATGAGCTTCTCCACTGATGCTCTGCTTCTGAGTTCTTGCGTAGTAGTCCGTGTAGTCGATGGTCGCGATGTAGTCATGTTCAGGAAGAAAACGGTTTTTTCGTGAAAAATGCACGAAAACGCGCGGGTCGTTATGCGCCCGTTACAACAACAACAACAACAACAACAACACCAACACAACACAACACCAACACCAACACCAACACCAACACCAACAACAACAACAACAACAACAACAACAACAACAACAACAACAACAACAACAACAACAACAACAACAACAACAACAACAACAACAACAACAACAACAACAACAACAACAACAACAACAACAACAACAACAACAACAACAACAACAACAACAACAACAACAACAACAACAACAACAACAACAACCAACAACAACAACAACAACAACAACAACAACAACAACAACAACAACAACAACAACAACAACAACAACAACAACAACAACAACAACAACAACAACAACAACAACAACAACAACAACAACAACAACAACAACAACAACAACAACAACAACAACAACAACAACAACAACAACAACAACAACAACAACAACAACAACAACAACAACAACAACAACAACAACAACAACAACAACAACAACAACAACAACAACAACAACAACAACAACAACACAACAACAACAACAACAACAACAACAACAACAACAACAACAACAACAACAACAACAACAACAACAACAACAACAACAACAACAACAACAACAACACTTATAGCAACCAACCTGTTTTTAAACAGCTGTTTTTATTCCAACCATGTGTTTATATATGTTTAAATTAATGTTTTGATATTAACCCATCAAGAACAACATTGAATTGCGTAAAGCCGCGCTATACAAAGCCGGGGTTGTTTTGTTTGTTCATGGGTTTCTATTCAAAAAAAGGAAAAAACGCGAGCTTCATGAAAACCATGTGTATAGATATACTTTAAGAATAAAGTTCTTTGTAAAACCGGGCGTTTTGTAAAGCCGAGTGTTTTATACAAACCGGGTTTTTATTACACAGCGCCATTCGGTTTTTATAGAACGAATGGGGTTTTAAAACTAAGACCATCGTTTTTTTTCTGAAGCAGCACGGTGTGCAAAAGAAAAACACCATTGGGTTTTGTAAAAAGCTACGTTTTCTCAAGAAATAAGCTTTCCATATAGCACAAAACAATGGGTTTCCATTAAAACACGTTTTTGGTGTTGTAATTAGGAACGCTTTTTCAAGAAACACCACAACTTGTTTTTTAAGGGCGGCTTTCTTATACAACACTTTCTTTAGCCGCGTTTGTTTGTTATTGTAAGACCATAGGGCCGTTGCAGTTGCCACTGCTGTGGCCCCCGTCGCTGCTGCTGTTGTGGTCGTGTTGGTGGTGGTGTTTGCACAAGTGACGTTAAGCAGATGACTGCTCGCCTGTTTTCCTGGGGGACAACTTTCGATGAAAACGAAAACCGAAACAGTCACATGATTTGATTAAAGCAACTGCGAATGCAACAGCGGCAGCCATATTGGTTTGTTCAGAACGCATGCTCACAGTCAATCCCTCTTGGAGGAGCATTGTTGTGTCCATGGTTCTCCCTTTGAAGATGACAGCGTTTTCATGAGGATGGCACATTGGTATACAGAAATTGCTATTTTCCACAACCATGCAGAGGAGTGCCTGGATGGAAGTCTGTACACTTGCTGGGTGCATTTCCCGTGGCTAGTGACCGGCGCATTGGGTGAGTGATATGTCATGTGAAAGTGACGGACATGGGTGTTGTTGAAAAATAAGTAGTCTTTTTAGACTTTCTTCAGTAGGCAATTGTCAATGGACTACTTGGCGCCGCCTTCGCATCATGGCCGCCTAGTCGGGCGCCACTGGCAGATGGAAAGAAGCAACCTACCAGCCACCTCACAACACGCATAGGCGTCATGTACCGTAAGACGCTCCCTGTTTTTGATCGAGTCTGCAGCGTACATAAAAATGGCTTTGAATTTCAATTCTGACTCATATGTATTTTGCATCCTTGGTGTGGCCTTGTTTTTTTCCCTCAAAGGTTGTATATGAAAATCGATGGTTTGGGGGCCACTTCAACAACAAGAGTTCCTAAATTTAAATACAACCCTTCAGCAGCTCAGATATCCACCCTTCACAGTACAACCCTTCAATGTAAACACAGAACCATGAGCGGTTAATTTAGAAAGCCATTGGGATGTTGTAAAACGTTGTTTTCTGTTTGCTTACATACATATATGCCGGGTGTTAAACAAATCCATTGAGGTTTTATACAAACACCTTCTAGACATGGGCGTGTTATTAAACAAGCGGACTGTATAAACATCATTGGGTTTCACGTAAGAACCGTTTACAGATGTGTTTTAAATCCTTGTTTTTTTTTTTTTTTTTTTTTTAGAAAACGGTGGGCTTTACAAAACTGTTTTGTTTCATGCAAATACCGGGTTTATATACACATATATAAACACACCTCATCGGGTTATGAAACATGCTCTTCTTTTTTCAAACAATAGAGCCCGGTGCATATTAAACAAACAACCGGCCTCGGCAACTTACTCGCCGACTGATTTCTGATTTGGGGAGCAAACACAGTCATGACGTACTTGGGGATTCCTGCTCATCAGTGATGATTCTTCCTATGTTTAACCTGTTGATTCATCCTTGTTTCCCGTTTGCGAAGTGTGGTAGTTGCATGGCGGCATGCGCGATCCATGGGCAGATGTTTCAATTTAGGCCAATTGAGGGCAAGTGGGGTCTTTGTGGCTTGCGGGGGTGGAAAAGTCCGAGCGCGACGAGGACGCCTGCCAGCAAAGTCTGGCAGACGCCCAGCTTTTCAGCCAGGCGCACTTCACGCGTTGCGTGGGATGGATGTGGTGTGTGGTCGGTGGCTGGCAGAAATTTGGCCGTAAAGATGGCAATGAAGCCCAGGTTGATGAATTGGGGGGCGGTCTCAGTCAAGAGGAACTGCTGCACACTTGGGCTTGGGATGTTTACGCTTCACCAATGTTTCTTGGATGGCTACGACAAGCAAACAACTGACGAGCGGGGCGTTGTGTGAAGGAGGGCTTCTTCGTGGTTCCTTCCCGGTGTTTCGGAGGGAGCGCCGAGTTGTTGCCTTGTGTTCTGCGTTTGTGCGTTCGTTGTTGGGTGAGGAGCGCATGGTTTGGAAGCGGCGGGGGACACGATATTTCGACAATCCTTGTAGAAAAAACATACCAGACATGTATAATTGAAACCAACAGATGGCCTAAGAGGGTTGGAGACAAACGTGGCCATGAAAGATCAAGTCGGGAGGGAACTTCCAACAACGTTGGTTGCTTTCAGACGCCCCACTTAACTAATCAAGGTTTCGTTTTGGGGGGGGGTGGCAACAAAAGAAAACACGTGCCAAACAACGCCCAACAAAAGGGGGGGGCAGGCAGGCCGCCAATTCTGGGCAAGCGCCATGGTGAGAGAAATCGTTCACTCAGCCTTTCTTGTCGCTGCAACGATTGCAACTCAAACAAACGGATGGGATGTTGCGGAAATATGCGTGTGATGCCATGCAACATGTCAACATGGACATGACTGTTTCGGGGACTCGTGTGCCTTGCCTTGTAGGTCCTAGAAGCTGTCGGAGGCCACTTCTATTTGCTCAAACTCGGAGTTTTGCCTGGCAAGCACACCTTGCTAGCGCCACATTACAGATATAGGCCGTGTCGAATTCATGGCTTGACCATTTGGAAGCCATCTGCAAGGTCGCAAGCCGAGGAAACCATGCGTCTTTGTTTCAAACACCAATCATGGAGCGCCATTCTGAACTGGGAATTGTTTTTGTTTTTTTTTGTTTGGGGGGGGTGGGGTCTATGCTCAGATGCATCAAACCCTCGTTAGGACGCTCACCGATTCTTGGCTGCTTTGGATCTTCAACCTTCAACTTGTTGGGAAGCCCGTTTCACATTTTGCCACTCCCCAGTACTTACCAGCGAAGAGTTGCAATCTTTCCATAGGCTTTGAGTCCTTATGTCTCAAGATAGAGCCAACAAACACCCCAAAACCCCAGGGTTTTCTTTTGGCGTCCTCTTTCCTCTTTTTTTTCTTCTCCGGGGGGTACCGAGCCGACGAAACGGAACACAGAGGCGGTGTCGACCTGCGGAGCCCACTGGCAGCTGGCCGGCCTGCTGCTGGAGAGGCGATCGATCCGCGATCCGCCGATCTGGAAACGAGCCTTGTCGTTTGCTGGTTTCCTCCGCGGTGTCTTTGGGCGTTAAAAATTGAGAAATGCCATGGGTTTCCTGACAGTCCTGACCAAATTGTGGGCGCCACAGCGTTCGCTCTGGGAAGGGGGGGTCCGTTTTGGTCAAAGAGCTCTTTCCTCAAGGTTGGGGATGGTCATCCTAGAGGCTGTAGGCAACCAATGTGAAGGTTCAACTGGAAGAGTTTGCTGAAAGCATTTCCCGCGCACCTTTTTTGCCCCTTCCACCACTCCCCAGCCCCTCCCCTCCCCTCGCTTCGCGACAGCGATTCGCTTCGGCCAGCATGGACCGGCGCCTGCTGGCGCGGACCCGGCCTGCCATGAGCGCGGCCATGGAGACCTGTGCCCAATCCGGGCGCTGGCGGGAGGCGAAGCCGCGCTTCGCCCGGACAGGGTGCTCCATGGTCGTTTGACACATGTCAATATACATATATCTACAAATACAGATATATGTATAATATAATATATATATATATATATATATCTAAATATGTGTATATATATATATATGTACACACATCTCAAGGTGTCCAGTGTGCTGAATTGCCAATCTGGAGCATGCATACATCGCAAGCTATGAAGGAAAACAAATGAAACATGAAACACTCACAAATTCTCCCGAAGCAAAGTTGGCACCGCAACAGGCCATCCAGCTGCTAGACGATGGTTGGGCCGCGATGTGCCCGCCCAACTTGCAGATGTGCGGGGCCCGGAATGGCCGATGTGCGAGGCAGAGACTCCAAGCCGATTCGTGGAGCCGATTCCCGGGTAGAAGGTAGGGACACCACCAGCCAGAGATTGTTGAGTCAGCTTGAGGTCCAGGTTTTGCTTATGACTCACATGCAAGGAAGGCCATGGAGCACCCGCACATCTACACCACACAGCTAGCTTCAAAGTTAAGCCACGGAGTGCTTGTTTCTGGTTGCAGCGGCGTGGATTTCATCCCCACTCTCAACAACTCAATGGGCTGTTGGGTTTCATGTCTATGTGTCGGGGCGTAGTATTGATGGCTTGTCATGTCAAGGGCAGGAAATGCCACCTACATCACCCAACGTTTACAAATCATGCTACCCCAGGATTAAGCAGAACCCCTGGTTGATGATTCGGTGTGTGTGTGTGTGCTCTGTTTGAGAGGGAATCCAGATCACTGATGGGGCAAACACCTCCCTGTGAGTTCGCAAGTTGTATTAATCAGGGTCTACATAGGAGGGCACGCGGCATCACGTGGCAGCCCGTGGTCGAGGGCGCGAAACACAGTGTTCGGGATGCCCAATCGCATTGCGCAAGCTCATACGTTTGGAACGCTCAAAAGGGCTATGTATCAAAAATAGGGCTACCGCACAAATGCCAACAATTGGTGGTCTTCCTTTGGTTTCCCGTTGACCCACCCCCAAAAAGGGTACAATCAATATCACGCAGATCTATAGCCCCACATGGGCAGCAATGGGTGAATAACGATCTCGCTGGGTCTTTGTGGACGCTGACTTCTCGGCATGCGTTTTTGGCTCCATGTGCTCAGATCGATTGTTTTGCATTGTTGAATGCCTGCTGGAAGTGACTCCAGACCTGCTTGGGCACAGAGACATGATGCAAAGCTAGGAATGCCTTTGGATCACTACTGGAAATATTTCTATTTTTTCCAGGGGGCTTAAGCAAATGAAAGTCTTTGAGGTTTTGTTTGGTTTCGCTGAAGGTACAATGCGGTGCTGCGCAGCTGCTCGGGCGGCGCGTGGCAGGCAAGCACGGGGCTTTTTTTCCTGTGGCGAGGCTCGTTGTTTCATGGGGCCCGCAGCCATACTGTGGATGGACAAAATCCATTTTGCACCACTTCGAAACCATGGGAAACCATTGTTTGTTGGTATTTGCGGGGGAATCATCATTCCAGGGATTCTTAGGTGGTGCAGGATTTTGTCCATCCACAGTATAAATTGGTGTGACATCCAACCAACACACCGCTCATTTGAGGTTTGTTTTGAGCTTTGGTGTTCGGGTTTGGTTCAGTTCAGTTGTCGATTGTGTCGCACGTCGGAAAGGTATCCGCCGTTTGCGCCTTGCTTGGAAGCATGATGCCCCAGTACTCGGAAACTCCAATGCACATTCCGCACACTTAGTGTACAACCACCCTACGCTGTGGATGATGTTTTGTGTTCAACTAGGTTGCAACACATCTCATAAATCACCAGAGCCCCCTGCCAGTCTCCGAAATGCCCTTGCCGAGACGACCGTTCTACAAAGAATGGGCGACCATCGAGCATCATCGCTTGATTCAGTTGCCCACTTGCCGTGCTGGCTCACAAAGCCAATAGTGAAGGTGTGTCAAGGCTGGCAAAGTCAGCAAAGGCAGGCCAGATGCGAGAGCATGTCATTGCGAGTTGTCTTGCTCGACCCTTGCTTACTTTGCCATGTTAAACTGTCACTCCAAAGTTTCAGTTGCAATAACTGATATGTAAGCTGGACAATGACCTGTAATGCCTGATTTGGATGGAGCAACTTACATGTTAATTCCGTATTCTAAAACTGCAAGCTTGAATGTGATTGTGCCACCAGTTTGGATTATGACCGACGTGCAATCGACGTGCTCAAACACTGGATATTTTGTGGGAACCTTACAAAGAGATATTCGATGATACTTGTGTGCTCATCTGGAAGAAAACATTTGAAGAGGACCGAACAAGGATTTTGGATGCATGTCGAAAAGCCGAAAGATGAAACGTGCAATTGAGATTAAAGATTGAAGCTGGAATTCCTGTCAATCCTCAAGGGTAGATAATTAATTAGATTTGGTAAAGGTTTGCCCTTTGCCAAAGACCAAATGTGTAAAACCCGGCATGGTCCACTCCCCTGCTTGGAAGAGGATACTCCCGCAATAGGTGCGTCTCAAATGGGGGACTCCCCTGAAAAGGGTGGCTTCTGTTTGGTTTCCGAAAACAACTCTGGCCAAAGGACCGATTTTCTTGGTGGCTCCCAGCCATCCCCTTAGCTTTTTAGGGTTTAGTGGGGATTTCCATTTCACCCACTAAAAGCTAAACTTTTTGCAGGGGATCTGAGGGCAGCCCAATTTTGTAATCTTTCAGGTCGCCGCCTTTCGAGGCTTCAAGACAAAATCCAGTCCATGGCCCATGGACTCACTGCAAGTTCCCGATCAAGCGGCCAAAAGGACGCGCTCAATCACATACACGTAGGCGTCCCTTTTTGGTGGTGTCAGTTTAGAACATAGATGTCACTGGTTGACCTGGTCTCATAATCCAGGGACATCCAAAACGATTTTTTCTTCCCAAAAAGGACATGCTCAATCACATCGTTTTCGTTATTTTTCCCCACATGACATGGGAACGGCTCGCTGAGACCGCCGTGGCGCTCTTGGCGGAGATGGACGACGATTCGAGTTTGGCGGTGGGTCAGGACGGTCGGTCCTCGGCCGCTGCCATGGAGAGCTGCCTGGTGCTCAGCCGGTCGTGTGAGACGCGGCCAAAAAAGAGCGCGGGGGTCGCCGCCATGTGGCGACAAGTTGCCCCCGAAACGAACACGGGCTGCACGAAAAGGGTGGCCCCCCCAAGCATCAAACATGGGTCATGTATGGGTTCCATGTTGATCTGAAGGAAGGTATCTGGCTGGTTCTCAGATGTTGGGAATGAAAGACGGTAAACAAAGATACACCCTTAAAACCCAGGAGCAGGTTTGGAAGCAGTCTTAAACCCTTAAACCTTAGAACCCAACACTTTTTCTAGCTACCCTGAAAGCGACGTAACCCAGGGCTAGCTGAGGTATTTCAGTAGAATCCCCTTGGTTTAAGTCTTTGCTGCGGGCGTCTTGGGGTTGGTACATGTAGGTACTCCTTATTTGGATGGCGTTGAAGGGAAACCTAGGGGAGACCGATCACGAAGAAGGAATATATTGAATGGGAGGCTTTGCTGCCATCCAAGCCGGTTTGTGGCGCTCCCTGCTTCTGCACTCATCTTTTGCAACCTTCAGGTTCGCTCCTTTCTCCTCAGTTGCGTTTGCTTTGGCAGCTTTGCCCCTGGACTCCTGATGTTCTTCAAAGAAACACCCACATTGAGAACAACACATGTCGTCACCTCACCTCTGGGCGGGGCGCTGCGGAGCTTGGGGGCCTTGCCGAGTTGGTGCGGCGGGGCAGTGGGGGCGCATCCTGCTGCTGCTGGCAGACCTTTGGGAAGGCGTGAAAGGGTGAGCAGAGAGTGAGACTCCTCTCGTAAAGGGGATACCAAGAGACCGTCGTTTTGACGCGCCCACACCTGGGGTCTACTCCCCCCTTAGTGCACACTTATACATGAGGCAAGCATCACCATTGCCGGGTCAAAGCAAGAGGCGGTCTCCAGGACCAGTGACGGAAAGACATGAGTACCTTGAGGTAGGGGTACCGGGAGTGAAACAAGTGGTCCAATGGAAAGGACGGGAGAGAAGGCACAAGGCACACAGAATGTGTGATCCCCTCGTGTCAGTTCCTCCCTGTCGGGGATTTGCTTTCCAAGTGACCAAAGTCTGGGCCTTTCTTTGTTTGTGGCGCTTGTCATGCTTGGCTTTTGCAGCGTGAGTTGTTTCCTCGCCGCGGACGAATCAGATAGTCATCACTTTTAGCCGCCATCTACGACTCACTTTTTGTTGCTCTCTTTTGAAACTGTTTTACATTTCAAGGTTCACTACATATGGATCATTAGTTTGGGGTTGGGGCGCAAAACGCTGAGGCGGTGTTGTCCCGATGTGTTTTGCCTAACAAATTGGGACCCCCCATTCTTCCCCAGAATTAGCTTTCCTTGATCTTTTGCCAGTTTGTTGTGGGTTCCCCTTTGTTTTCCACTAACCAGGCCAAAGATATCGTCTTTTTCTGGGGTCCTAATTCCAGTCCCGCCTTTGTCTCCGTCGGAGGATTCTTTTCTCGGAGGACCGAGGTCTCCGTTTTCGGGCAGCTAGATATGCTAGTTGGGAAAGCGGACTCCAGCTGTTCGGGGAGAACGTTTCGCCTTCGGAAAAGACACAAACAGTGGTTTCGCCAGGCGAGGTGGTGCCGGGCGACGTGGAGTATGGCGCGAAGCTGGGGTGTGATGGGCTCATGTAAACCCAAGGCACAGTAGGGAGATGTCCACAATTTAGGGGGGGGGGGAAAACAGAGGACGCAGACCGGTTTCAAGCGGCCCCGATTTTTGGAGGCACCCATTGGTTGTAGAAGCAAGCACAAACATTTGCACACCAACCATTGGGAGAGATGTTGGCCTTCGTTTTGGGGCCAAGTTGTTCGGCAGGATGGGGCGCGCGTTTTGATACATAGGTATCTATGAACATCAAGGACCGACCTGCGTGACTCGCATTGGTTTCAAGTTTTAGGGTCAAAATCCCCAAATACCAGGAAAAGCAAAACCTCACTTGGGTCGAGCAGGTGCCTTGAGGTTGTTCAAAAAGGATGGCCGTGCCAGGCACCCCCAAAGTGACATCTGTGCCAGGCACCACTTCAGAGGATGTAAAACGGCTTTTTGGCCGCGACGCGAGAAAACCGTGGGCTCTGGGCACGCGCAATGTGACACAAAGTACATGTACACAAATGTAACCTTTCTACTCTGCATGTTTCTCTTTCTCTTTCTCCCTCTCACTCTCTCGTTCGCTGGCTCTTCCTCCCCCTCTCCCCCTTCTTTATGTTCAAACGGGTCCCAGAAGGCTGTTGTAGACCCGCCTCATTTCATTTTATTTGTGATTATATATCATTTTCATTATCTTAAGAGATATTTAACAAAACATTGCCGGCACTTTCTTTGTTCAGCATGCATTCCCGGTTTCCTGCGCCCGGTAGGCGCCGCCATCAGCGGGCTCCGACAGGAGCCCGTTGCTCAGAGGAGGTGGCAAAGCTTGGTCTGCCAACCAAAAAGGACGTGCTTTCAAGGGACCTAAAAAGGGAAAAGTGACATTGATCCAAAAGGAAGTGCTTTTTAGTGGGACCTAAGAATTGATTAGGGTTGCGATCCCCTTTTTTGGGCTAGAAACGCCAAGTCCGGCTTGTGGACTTGAAGGCTGGAGTGTTTCCAAAAATCGGAGGCCCCGTTTGGATATGGCAAGGGTTCCTTATAGAGTTGCGGGTCAAATGTGTTCGCAACACGACCCATTGGGGAACTCCTGTTGAAGTTCCATGTGAATCATGGGACTTGATTTTCCATTTGGTGGTTTCCACAAGGCAGGCCTGCGACTAGCGAGTTGGCAGTCTGAGGAGCGGCAAAAGAATGGGACATCTATCCCGGCAATACTAGCTGACTACCTGACAAGGCTACTGTGAAGCATTTTCCTAGATCCTGGAACTAGTTGCCCCTCAATATCCTGACGTGGAGTCTTTGTCCCGAACTGACAACTCCCAAGGGAAGCAAGTAGAGGGGGTTCTTTTTGCCACCTTTGCCGGAAAATTGATCGACCCCCTCGTAGTGAAGGATTCCTTTTAAGGGGGTCGCCAATTTTCCCACAAAAGGTGGCAACAAAAACCTGAGTAAGTAGTGGGTCTAATTCAAGCGACCACAAGCAGGTAAGCCGTCTTGGGACTCACCCGGCTCATGCCCAGGTGGCAGCAGGCCGCGTGGCTGCTGCGGGAGATGGAGGGCTTGGCCTTGCAGCCCAAGGCGCAAGCGCCCGGGGGCCAAAAAATGGGGCCGTTCTTGGATGCTCAGATGGGTATGGGTCAAAATTAAACCACCAGGGGACCACAGGTGTTGGTCCATGTTTCCGCTTGCCAGGGTTCGATTTGGGGTACCTATTTTTGACCCACAGCCAGATCTCAGAGGGTTTTAGGTGCCACTTTTCCTGTGATACCAAGGTCCAAAATTGGGAAGGGCGGGCCCCTCGAAGCACACGCCTTGGCTGGGCCCTCTGAAGCAACATCATGCTACATTGTGAATAATTAAACCATACATGTTCTTAGTTTTCGGAGGGGCTTGGTTTCAAGGGCGACCGGAATGACACCACTGGTTTTTTTGGGGTTTCCCCCTTGGACCCAAGGTTCTGCGCGCTGGTGCGAGGTGCCTTGGAGGCCAGCGCTTGGAGGCCAGAAGTAGCCTAGCTGGGAGAAGCATATCAAGCAGGTAGCGCAAGGAACATCCGAGATGGGGGGCTCGTTTACTTGCTTTCTGTCATACGTTAGTCATTGCTTTCTGGATGGCATGATGGCTAGTTGGCGCTCGGGAGTACTCAAGGAAACGGAGACACGCATCTCCATTCTAATCTCGTTTCACGCCGGCTTCCCGCGTCTCTGAGCTTGGGGTAGAATGAGCTTACCCAATGTGAAGATCCCTTATTTGAGGATTCCTTGTTTTCAGCCTTGTGTGTTGTAGTAGTTCGCCTATGTGTATGTACGTAGGTATTTTTCAAGATGTTCATGGCCGGAGCGCCGACTGTCAGAAAGATGGGTAAAGGATGGACTGACTGTCAGGGACGACAAACACGCAGTCAGCTACGTGCCGCTGTTTGCTTGCTCCAACGTCAAAAGGAGGGACTCGTCCAAGTTAGCATTTTTGGTTTCCCCTGAGACCGTCTCCAAACTATTGCTTGTTCTGGCTTACCTGTTCAACTCTTTGCCTTATTTTCCTTTCAACCAGAAACAAGCGCACTTTTGCAAGGGTTCTAAGTTCGTCGAAAAGAGTCCGTAATTCTCAAATGCATTGCCTTTACATGCCGGTACAGAGCTAGCAGCCAGGTCACACTCAAAGGGTCCCTTTGGTTTCTGCGTAGTCTGAGCCTTTGTGCGCCTTGAGCCGGGGTATGAAGGACCTTGCTGGGTCCCTGAAAGGGAACATTTGCAGGGCTTCTCAAAATGACTCCAAATTGCTTTGGTGGTGGTTCCCTCTAAACCACAGAAAACATGAGGATGTCAGAATGGACCCATGTCTAGCGTCTCCATGGCTGTAATCTCTCCTGTTGAAAACGAGAACCCAGGGAACAGTGCAGAGGATGTGGGGCAGGGGAGTGGGGTGGATGATGATGTTCCCGCGGCAGGGTCAATACATTGGCTCGAAGAGACCTCTATGAATACCTCAGCATTGTTCCTGGATTTATGATTTCTGAATTTGCCAAAACAACACACCAAGAGACACAATTTTCTGGTGCACTAAATGCATCTTAAATCTGAATGCGGGCGCAGTGGCGTTCGCTGTAGCCACTGAGTTTCTGCTTTTCAGGGCCGGGTCCAATTGGGAAATTCCAAGAGGGGTGGTTCCACCATTTACGGTAGAGCACACTTCTGGGCATGTCACTTGAACGGACCCATGTCTAGTGTCGAGAAGGTCGACGTAACGTCTCCACTTTGTTTTGGGGCCAGGCACAGGGAACCCCGAATTGGATCATGTTATAAACCTGCAGTTGATCTTTTGTTGAACGTATAGCCAATTAAAGTATTTATACCGCTTCTTCAGTTTTGTGTGTGTGTGTATCTTACCCTTTGGTCCGAGGGATGTGCCTGGATCCCCCCGAGTTCTCCCGTCGCCCGCAGGCACGCCCTTGCGCTCCACGCCACGAGAGCGAAGGCGCGACGCGCATTGGCCGTTTGGGTGTGTCTGGGGTCATGATTTTAACAGAAAGGGTTTCACATGGAAAATACCCACGCTGAGGGGGTCCCCCTCTCTATTTTAATTGTTTCGGGGGGTGGTCAAAGTCAGAACATGTGGTTGTGTCCCTTTAACCCACTAGGGGGTGACTTTGATATGGTATGATAATGTAGCCAGTCTGTGTGGTTCTAGGCTGGTGAAAACCAGAAAGAAGTCACCTGTGTTGTGTTTGCACAAAGGAGGACCAACAACGCAAAAGGGCCAGATGTTTAATTAGTAGGCAGGTTAGGGCAGATCTACCCACAAGCAAACGCACGCACTCGGTTCTCCACGCGAAAAGGAAGCCACTTTGCCAGCTGGTCTTGTTGTAAGCTCCCATCAAAACTTCCTTCCGTTTCCCTTTGAACCGACCTCAACAAGAATTTCTCCCCATGTAGGTCATAAATAAAGGGCCATATCTTCGAAAGATGCAAATTTTGCAACCATTTGAAACATGTGGCTTTTTCAACACCAAAATAAAGAAAGGGAAACCAGCATTTAGTTGCTTCTTCCACCCAAATAAAGGGACACACCACCATTTACAAGTTGCAATGTTCCTTGGTGTTTTTCATTCCGGATCCCTGTCCCGGAGGAGCCCTACCTTGACCGGCCCACCTTCTCCCTGCTCCTGAACCGCTGCGAGCGGCATCGCCTCTTCCGCGCAAGGCCTGAAGCGGGGGGCGTCTAAAAAACTGGGGGACCCCCAAAACGGTTGGTTTCCTGTTGGTTTCCCTGAGAAACCAAAAGGGTTCCCCCAAAAAAGACAACCCCTTGTGGCCGGGCAAATAAGCAGGAAGTGGTGGCCATTTCACCACACAACGAGCATGCTCGTTGTGTGGTTGGCTGCAATTCAGAGAGCATTTGGGCAAGAAATTGATGGCCATGTCACCGCACGTTGCTAGTGTTTTGGGCTGGAGGCTTGGTCATGTGCATTGTGTCGTCCCTGTCCTATTGAGTGGCGGAGCAGGGCTTAGCTCATCACGGTGGTTGCCCTCGTTGGTTCAACAACCTGCTGGTTCCCATTTTAAAGAGGTCAGCCTGCTGATTGTTTGAACAAGTTTGGCGTGTACCCTGTTTTTCTGGGTGGTTTCTCTTGCGGATGCTTCTTTGCATCTGGTGGTACCATGAACCTTGGAACAGATCCACTTTCCACTTTCCACTTCCACTTTCCAGGGTAACATGTTCGAACAGGGCCATAGGCACCTAAGAGGATCCAAGATGATCTGTAGACAATATGGCGTTGTTGTTTTTTCAATAGGGAACCACCTATGGTTGGTTGACCTGACTCCCCTGTGTTGAAACATGTTTAAACAGGGGATTGGCCCAATCCTGCCTGTTGGCGAAAACAATCCGACCCTTGGTGATTTGTGCTACAACGTATTCTGGGCCCGACTACGAGTTGCGAAGAAACGACTGCATCTTTGCTGCTGTCATGGTAGCAATCCTCATCAGCTTGTAGCAGTTGCAGGGGATTTCTGAATCTCCTTCAGATCTGCACACATTGGCGGAAGCATACAGCCCGGTTTCTGTCACTTGGTATGTTCGCAGTTGTTTGATACCATGTTGCTGCCCGTTTAAGCTGGACCAAACAGGAATTCCTTGACACATTCGTCTCCAAATAAGGGACCCCTTAAATGGCGGTGTCCCTAAGATGAATCCCAACAATGGCTAACAAGCTCACCTTCTCCGACCATTGTGACGCAACTTTTTGTTACTCCAGTTCTGACCTTCTCACTGCCTTAAACCGTTCACCTTTCACTGCCGGCCCTGTACCAGCGCACGCCTCCCGTTTCTGGCGCTTCACAGCCATTCAAAAGGTGGATCCGCCATGATTTTGGCCCATTCTTTTGCCTACCCTCCCAATTTTTCCGCAGCGTGGTCATTTTGGCAAGGAACCCTCCCAGTGCTTCCCGCTTCCAGTATAGTAGGTAACCAGATATTTCTAAGACTTCTTGGCTTTACATGATGGTTGCCCCTTACCAACTGTGGATGGACAAAGCTCTGCACCATCAATACTGGGACAACGCACCTATCAACTGGTACAGGATGTTGTCCATCCTCAGCATTACAGGCCTGACGCGAATGCGGAAAGCAATAAGAGGCACATAACTACTCAGGCTCTACTCCCATAATCATGACATGTGGTCAAACCCATTCATTCCAATTCATCCAAACACGACACTCTACACAGTTGCAACCCTCGTTTTGGGCTGGGACCCTAAAAGGCATCCCCATGGATTTCGGCCCGGCCGCGGTCGCACCTTTTGGGAGGCGCGGCCTGCTGGCGCGGCTGGGGGACAACCTGAAGCACCGGGCGGGCCGCGGGAAGCGCAAGGAGGACGGGCGGGGGGTGGGGGGCAAGGGGCGGGGGGAACGGTTCAGGGAATCGGATCCATTTGGTTTTCTAAAACTGGGGGCGGGGGGCGAAAGGTTCTGCTCCCCAATTTTTGGTGTCAAAGTTGGGGGAAACCTTTGTAGCAGGGCAAGATTTGGACCCAAATCAGCCCGCAAGCAAGTTTAGTCTCTTAAGTCATCAAATCCCAGCCCGTCTCCAAGGCCCTCCACCAGCCCAGGTGGTCTTGAATTTGGCCCGAAGAGAGGGTCTTTGGGGTGTCAAATCAAGTCCAGTTTCCCAGTACCATTGCTTGTTGGCCGAGCATTTGACCAATTTGGAGGTTCAATGCGCGCACATGGAGTGTTTCGGGCTGGCCATTGTAGGTTGAGAGGCCATCCTTGGGGCAAATGTCATGACCCCTACATCCACCCGTTTTGGGTCGTTAGTAATTTGGTCTTAATGTACAGGGAACATCAACTAATCTTGGGGGGGGGGGGCATATTGCAAGCAGATCTAAGCCGTAGCCGCCTGGGCCTATGCGGCATCCAGCGCTGTCAGGATGCACGCATCGCCAATGCTGTGGGCCGGGCCTACTGCCCGCTCCCGCAGGCGGGCGAAGTCCAGGGGCCAGTGATGCCGACATAGGAATTTACACTTGATCCCTTCAGAAGCCAAAATGCATGCCACCAAACCAAGACATCAGCAAAGATTGACATTTCTATCGGTGTCCCGGTCAGATGGGCTGTCCATCGCTAGATCCCACTGGCTTTTGGCTTGTTTTATCAAAGAGTCGGCAACTGCTTTTCCCAAAGGGCGCCTCCATCTCCACCACCCTCTCAAGGACGAGTGCGCGGAACCTGACAACGTGTCCGCTTTTGGAAGTAGCGTGGTGTGAACCTGAGGCAGGTTCCAGGTTTGTTGGGAGCTTGGCTGGCTTGTGCAGCGGCCAAATAATTTCCTCCTTTGGAGCCAATTCTATGAGCTGTTGGCCCTGGTTTCGACTTCAAAGTTGGGCAGTGGCAATCCTGGGATTCAAAGCCAAATGTTCAGTCGAGTAGCCTGCGCTGGTCAAACCGAGGTTGCGAATGCCCAGGGCGTTCGCGTGGTCAGCAACCAAATCGGGGTTTAATGAGTTGGATTTGGACAGTTCGGGAACAAAGGTTCAAGCACTGATCTTTAAAGAGGCCAAGGTCTGGTGTTTAAGCACATTTTGCCCAGCACCGTCGATAACCAACCACAAGAGCCTCGAGCTTTGTTCCATGGGGTTTGTGGCTCTAAGGCCACGTTCGCCGAGGAGTGCAAGCAAAGGGCATCGACGATTTTCCATGAATCAGAGATAGTGAACACGGCTCCATTTTTTGGGCCCTTGTTGGACACGATCCCAATGGATGAATCCGAACCATGTCCCCATGCGATTCGAAGCTGACACCTTTTTCAGACAAGGGTGATGTATCCCTAAGCGTAGCTTCAGGGGCTCGAAGCGGCCCCTCTATCACCCCTCCCCCCATTTTCGCTTCAAACATCCATCGGCTTCCACCCCAAAACACACATGTTCTTGTTTTTTTTTTCCCGAAACAACTCCCGCGTGGTTTTTCTCTCCTTTTTTTCCGAAGCAACTCCAACGGTTTTTTGTGGCAAAGCCAAGAACTCAGTTGTTCAGTGGCACCCATTTTCCCCTTTTTTCTGGTTGGCTGCTCCACTAAAATGGTTTTCCCCAAAAAGGGTTCCCTTTTTTTCCAGGGTCACTGAACAACTGAGAGAAGGGACTTCAAAAACTCGTCGCGCTCAGCCCGGCCTGGTGGGCGGCGCCTTCGCGCGGAAGCTCCGCACTGCCATGCCCGGAGCCATAGATGGGCTCGGGCTCGGGCTGGCTGCGTTGAAGGCACCGGGAGAGGGGGAGGTGGTCATTCTACAACCCAAGACAAAAATTGCAAGCTCAAGTTTTGCATTTTTTTTTGTCTCTGGACAATCTCGATGGAGCTCAAAGGGACACCACCCCCCATCTCGGAAACACACGCACATTGCAAGGTGGGGCCAGGAAGCCTCTGCAATTTGCCATGGGTTGGTGGTTTGCTTGCAGTCTTTGTTTAACTTGCAATGCAGCTCACCTGGTGGAAAATGAGCTCGCCCATGATGAAGGTCCTTTACTTCCTTGAAAATTATAGCAACTTCCCCAGAAGTTATATCCAAGCAGACAAACACAGCGTCATAGCACCATTTTGGGGTTCTTGATTCTTGGGTTCCTTCTAAAGATTTTGCGGTTGCAGCTCTCGGAACATGTTTCTGACCAGAAGCGGTTTGCCACCGCCCTTTTGTTGGGTTCCATGTGAGTTTGCCCAAAAGAAAGCTCTGGACTCAAGTGGTTGACCAGCTTCCCCTTTCAACGTATGGAAATGCGCCAACGGGGAAGCTCCCACATCTTTTGGACGGCAACCATGTTTTCCTTCTTTCGAATCGTATTTGAGGACGTCTCAACCGGACATGCGCACTCAACGTGTGATACTCTTCGCATTCCTTGCTAAGATACATGTGTCGGGTTTCGCGGGTGTGTACGGGTGTGAGATGAGGATCTGTAGCTGTGCGCGTGCATGGGTGGGGCAAATGATGCTTTGTGGTTGGTGGCGGAATGCCTGACGAGCCGTAGTTAAACTCAGGATTTCTCGGGTTTGATATGGGAATCGAGCTGCTTACATTTGAAGCATTGTAGACGGCAAGTCACGCTTTGACTGAATGTGCAAGTGAGATAGAGTGAGTGTAATAGATGCCAGCATCAAGTATCCTCAAGTTGATCTAGAATCATTTTTTTTTGGTTTGAGGTTCCAGTGGGGGTATACACGGGTGGAGTGGAGGGTACTTGCAGCATGATTCCATTCAATAAAGCAATGGACAGATTTGAGATACAGGCAGGAGGACAAACACAGGGTGGAGAACTAGATTGGCTTCGTTCTTGGAGGCCGCCAGGTGCGCTGGTTTCTTTCCACATGTCGCCACCGCCCGCCGACGTGACGTGTGTTGCCTCCGCTCGCCAGGCAAAGGCAGTACGCCAATGGCCGACTGCCTTACAACAAGGCCGACGCGTTAGCAGGGCTCCTCAAAACATACACATTGGCCATTTCAAACATGACCAAAAGGAACCCACCTTTTTGGGTAATGTTCAGGTGGACCATCAAAGTTCCGTTGGCTAGGGCAACGTTTGCCAACCTCACAAATGGGGGCAGCCGGCAGGCAAATGATGCACCACTACATGATCCTGTGCATATTGAAACCCTCATTCCAGCTTGTTCTACCTGTTTGTCCAATAATGGTGGAAGGGCCGAATATAAATCTATAATCATCTCAGTCAGTCAACGGACTTTGGGCTCTGCTCATTTCAGGCGCCGGTGAAATTCCATGAGTTGACTGTCATCTTTACTGGGAGTGTTCGAATTGCAATCGACTTGACGACTTGTACTTTCCAACCGAGTGCGCGGCTGGGCAAAATTTGTTACAACCACCTTTGTAGGTGAACCACAAGTCAAGGCTGTGTTTGAACAACTCGTTTCAATCATGTTTCAGCACCTGGTTGGCCCAACCCAGTGCAAGTCCCGGGAAGCAGCGATCGATTTGCTGGGTTTCCATTGTGGGATGAAGGGGTAGGTGCCCTGGTGCGCGGGGGCAGAGAGTTGTACGGCAAAAGACGAGCTTTGCCAAGAATTCACCAGAGAAGTGGAATCAAGAGAATCCTTCATGGGTTCTCAGTCGCAACCCATCGCAACCCCGAACCCTTTGTGAGGTCCCTATTGCCCATGTTCATGGCGCCCAGGGGCTGAAGGATTACGTCACTGCCCACCGTTCACAAACCTTGGTCTGCGTTTGAGGCATCGGCTGACGATGCCAGCTCCAAATACTTTCTGGTGCCCTCCAGTGGTGCTCTCAAACTGTTGGAGGGGATTTCCCTTCGCAATCTGCTAACACCAAAGGTGTGCCCTTCCAGTGATCTGGGTAATTCACCGATGCAGGCGTTGAACCTGTTGGCTCATGCGGTGGAGGCTGTGGCACGGTGCCCCGAATCGGGACTTTCAACTCGCAGTTCCAGACTTAACTAACCAATGCCGGGTCGGTGGGGACCCGACCGCTTGGCGGAGGCCCATTGACAGTGTCACGTCCGGTCACTGGGCCAGACGACTCCCCTGCAAACTGTTTGGTCATTCTTTCTCTTTGGGGTTTCTTTTGCTTTGCTCTTCAACCAGCGCAACACGTTTTGCAGGGGAGTCGTCTGGCCCAGTGACCAGACGTGACGCTGTGAATGGGCCTCCGCCAAGCGCTGGGGTCATTTGCACCGACCCATTGCCAATTGAAGACTTGGGCCTTTGTATGGATGTTTCTCCAAGGGGACGGTTTAACTGGGAGACAACAGCAAGCCACCTACCTGGAGGGGGGGGGTTCCCTAATTTTGAGAAACACAAATATATGGGCGCCGGATCAGCACCCCTGTTTTGAACATGACAGTGGGAGGCTCGTCCCAGTCCTTGTCCCCTCGTTTATGTTTTCTCGCCCCTTGAAGCATACCAGCTGGGGCCGGTTCACCCAATTTCCAGCTGATTTAAGAAAAGATCCGAATCCTTTTAAAGGAGTTGGTGGTTGTTGGATGTCTCTTGCCAGGACCCGGTTGCGACTGAGGCGGAAGGCGGCACTGCTGTCTCTGCCATGGAGCGAGTGGCCAAGAAGCGGTGGCGCAGTGCGGGAGCCTGGGGAATGAGGGGGGCGATAAAACAGGATCCCCTGGATCTTGCAAGTGAACCAAGCACAAAGCTTTTGCGCCGTACTTTTAGTCGCCTTGCAGCGGCGCCTTCTCGGCGCCAGACTTTCGGCGCCTCAGCTGAGAGGGGAGATGCATGGTGGCACGTACATGTCATATGGAAGCACATGGGTGCAACCATCAGTGGATCAGACCGCCGGTGGGTGAACTCCCGGCATGATCATAGTGTCTGGGCGTGAGTGGCAGAGTGGCAGAGTGGCATGGCGTGCAAACTCCGGCGTGGGCAAATTGCCATCAGCAGAAGCGTCAAGAAGCCTGCCTTGATGGTTCAGCCTGAGCGCGTCGTGCGACTACTGTCCAAGCGAGTAGCCCTTGCAATGTCTGGGCAAACAAACTCTGTGATTGCTGCAATGCTCATTGCCAGTTGCGGTTGATTCAGTGACTCGCGACCTGAGACATGTTCTTGACAAATTATGGGTGCTTGAGACATGTTGCGGGCAACCGCCGCTGCTTCGACCCCTCGCATTAAGAAGATAAGATAGCGATCTGAAGCGACCTCTTTGGTTCCAACCAGCTTGGTCCATTTGAGCCCAGGTACCAAAAGGCTATAAAGAATCGTTGCCCTCTTTCCATCAGTTATGGAAGTGGACAGCGGGGTTTGGAAGCACTGTCCTGTTGAAAGGGGCCCTTGCAAGGGAAATGAAGAAGCCATGAATGTCGTTTTGCACCGGAATGCCTTCTTTGGGGAACCCCTAAGTGGTCATGGTGCCCTAAGTGGCCACGGGCCCTTGAGCTTGCACAGCAGAGGGTAAGCGAGCGGTTCCATGGATGCAGCTTTCCTTGAGGTTCCCCAATTCAATCTCTAAGACCTTTGGCTCTGCCTGCAAGCAAGATTATTTGACGCATGGTTCTGTTCGATGCCCGCTTTGTTTCGACTCGATGGAGCTTTTGTCAAGAACCGACGTGTAGCTGAACCGAGGTGATCAACGGGTTGTTTCGTTTCCCCCTTCGCGGGATTCCTTCAAGTGAGCCCACTGCCTGTGTAACTTCGGCCGCGCCGTCTTACCATAAAGTGCTCTTCCCCTAAGTCACATTTTACCATAAAGTGTTCTTCCCCGAAGCCACATCAACCAACCAGCCGCGCCAGTGTTCTTCCCAGAAATCCCGTTCTTCGCTGAATGGCTCCTTGTTGCAAGCCTAGGGGACCGACTCTGGCTGGACATGGCGGGTGGATGCAAGGCGCAACCGAGGGCAGGCTACGAGCCCACTACAGAAATGGGGAACTCCCTCAAGACCGCTCGGTGGAAGCAAGCCCCCAGATGATGTCCGCCAAAAGGTCCCCAACTTGAAACTAGCTTTTTCAGTTTCATGTTGTTGCGTTTCGACTTGGGCAGAGTTTGTTGAGGCTTGGAATGGTTGCTTGAATCACAGTGGCTTAAACATGTTCAAACACTTGGTTGGCCCAACCCTGTTCCAATGTTGCACCCGCAGGTGAAGCAACCAGATCGTGCACTCCTTTTAAAGAAACATCCTGTCGTTGACGAGGCTCGTTTCCTCAAAAAAGTGTTAACACACTATGGAATCGAGGGTGTGCGCTTTGGAGGACAGCTTTTCAGTGGGAGTGATCTTTGGATTGAAGGCTACTAAACAGGTTGCTTGGGTTGACCTTTGGCTTTCAACGAGCTGAAAGACTTGGTTCTCCACAGACTCAGCAACCACACACGCGTGTGTTTGTGTGTCTCTGTGCGTGGTTGATTGTGTATGTGTGCTTTGTGTGTGTGTGTGTGGGTGTGCGTTTGCGTGTGCGTGTTCGTATGCGCGTACGTATGCCCTTTGGCAAGCCGGCTCGCAACAGATCGCCGACTCTTCTCTATTCTTGTTTTGTGGTCTATCTAGTGCCGAGAGACAAGCGGACAAGTTTCTTGCATGTTGCTTGTTCTTTAAATTATTGATTGTCTCAAGTTGTGCCTACCAGGCATTGCCAAAGTATTTTCGCGAAGCGGTTCCATGATTGATGCCTGCGGAGGGATGAACCTGAGCCAGGAAGGCTCAGCGAGTGCCTTATCCTTTCATTATTGTTTGTTGGAGGCGAATGGGCGTTCAAATACGCCTGCAAAGCATGTCGACGCTGATGATTTGTTGGACGGTTTTGCTGTGGATCTGGGCAAATGTTAACGAGCTTCCAATCGGGTAGGACGAGGTCACCAATGATGAAAGTCGTTTAGTTTGGGATTGTTTGTTCCTAATTGTTTGAGCTTGTCCGGATGAACCTGCGGTGACAGGAGTTTTTGGGTGTCAGCTTTGGACATGGTTGTGAAGCATGGAACTTTCGGCTCACTCGTTCTCGACTATACTTGAGCTGATTCAGTTGGACCACTCCAAGTGTAAGGATTCGCCTGGATTCGTGGACTTGTTCTCTTTCTTTTTTTATTTGGATGTTTGGTTTTACATTGGTTTTCTTTGTTTTTCTTTGGTTTGCTTTGTTTGTCTCTTTGGTTTTCTTTGGTTTTCTTCGATTTGATTTGATGTGTTTCATTCTTATTGCCAGAAACCCCCCTCCAACCACCCTTGGGTCTCGGGAGCCGCCGCGAGGCGCAGCTCCTCACCGCGGCCTTCGGCGCGTTGCCGCCCGGCACCAAGGCGCGCATGGCTTTCCTTTTGTCCGCCGCTGATCCCATTTGGCTGTGGCTCAAAGAATGGTACCCAAAATGGCCCCTCGGAAACTGGAAACAAAGACTTAAAACCTGCGCAACCCCGACGCTTTAACTTTGAGCCGCACCCATTTGGGGGGTAGGTACAAGGGTGGGCAGTTGAGAGGCCTCAGGTTTCCGTAGGGTTCCTTAGGGTTCCTTAGGGTTCCCCTAGGGTTTCTGAACCAGCTGTAGGGAATTTTGCCCGCCCTTGGACCACCCCTGAGGGACTCCGTAATGAGTTATTGAAGATGGGCCACTTTTTTGAAGGACCATTACAGTGTTGAGCAAAATGTTTGGACTCTGGGTCACTCCACTTCGGCAAGTCGTCGACTCAGGTTCCAAGGGGTAGTTTCCTTTTGTATGTGTTCGCTTGTGGTTTGTTGCCATGCAGACCTTTTTTTTAACGAATGATGAAGGACATCGGTTTGATCGTTCTCCAGTGTGTCAAGGAGGCAGCGACGCTCGCGGGGTGTCCGACGGAAAACCCACAGCAGACAATCAATTTCGTGCCCACCTTGTTTCAGAAATCCTCTATCAGGGTTGCTTCAAGCCTCTACAAACAAGATGATCAAAACACAAGATTGGACAATTGGTGAAGGGTTTCCTTTGGTTTCCTTAGGGACCAAACTTCTACTCTTCCAGGGGTTTCGGAGCAACCTCTGCCTATGTTTGGCAAAAGTAACATGCCAACCAAGCGGGGGCTTTCTTTTCTCCATGGCAGGTCTGCCCATTTGTGTCTGCATCTTCGGCGCAGGTGCTCGAGCTGGGCGCTGGCTGCGGGTACTCCGCCATGCAGCTGGCGCGGGCCCCAAGGACCGAGTCAAGGTTGGCAACTTGCCGTGTGCCACCAGGAGCCATCCGACTTTGAGACATGTCGACATTTCGACTTTTCGACTTTTCGACTTTTAGAGTGCAGGATGTAATGTATCAACCAGCGTATCAACTGCGGTAAGGCTGATCACACCCTTTAGAGTCCCGCTCAAACGCACCTGAAACACGCCTTGGAGTAGACTGAAGCAGGCGACCACTGGAGAGGTGTTTGAGTGGTGGTGTGTTTGGGGGTGGTAAGAGCTTTTTCATGAGAACAGACGCCCGAGACGCGGAAGCCAAACAATACATATACACACACACACACTCTCTCTTTCAACCGTTCATGCGGGATGATTTTATATAACCAGAGGTTCTTGCCGAAAAAACAGCCAGCCAACGCATCGTCCTAAGTTCTGCCTTGGCTGCTCATTGGGTGACACAGGGTTCCACCTTGCACACGTGTTGCTTGCATGTTGGTTACCTTTTCACGTGGGTCCAATAATTTCTTGGGATCTGACACATGACTCAACACTACCTGGAAACCAAACAGGCTCGAGTTCTCCCGCGGGGGGGGGGGGGGGGGGCGGGCGGGCTTGAGGAGGGCATGGGGAGATGGGTTGAACATCAAATGGCACATTGTTGCGATTGGGGCTTCAATTCTTGTGGCACATTTGCTTGTTGCTTAATCTTGTTTGGGGACCTGCAACCCTTTTGATGCCAGCAGCATAGGTATCCCGTGTTTCTTCTACCCGAACAGCCACATCACTCCGCATTTAGATAGCAGGTTGAATGCGCTTTTCGTGATCTTCGTCTGGTGTTTGTTTGGAGTGGGCAATCGCCTCAACATGAGCAATTCTCAATCTTTCCCGCCATCTGCGGCAGTAAAGGGGATGACATGGGCTGTAACCACCCAGTTTTGCAGTAGGACATGGGGTTAGTCGCCTCACTGTGTCACTTGAATGTCATTGGGAGACATGACATAGCATATCGCGCGGAGCTCATGTTGTTGTTTTTGTGCCACTGACTACCATCCCCGTTCGTATCGACTGGGTCAAGTCTTCAGAGGCCTTTATGAATTGGTCAACTTCACCCACAGCGCCCCTGATCAAGATTCATTTGGATACCTACCCGGCATGTGGCCCGCAGCTTCATTTGGATACCTACCCGGCATGTGGAAAAGGACGAAGAGACCTTTGCCCTAATCTTTCCGGGTTTCTGGGCCGAAACTTTCAAACCATGATTTCTGCCTCTCGCCGCGGTGGATGGTCAGAAGCAGCCACTTGCATGTGTGACGCGGAGGGGAATTGGCTCAGATATTTTCCTGCTTTCCGAGCACCGAGTGAAGACTTCCGGCCAACAATGGTAACACACCCTGAAAGATTCCTGAGGCGGTCCCATGTGGTCTCCTTCTCCCTGAGGGAGGGGTCATTTGTCTCCCTTTTGCCTTTCACTTTTGGTTTGTAGAGGTTGTTTTGCTTTTACAGAAGCCCTTGACGCATTTTGCCAGGGCAGATACTGTTGATTGAAGCTCACTTCTGTCAACGAATATCCCGCCGTCCCCAAACATCCGAGCCAGCCCGCCGAGGCGACGCATTTTGTTTCTTCTTTTGGTCCACTTTGCTAGTTCGCTGCAACTCTTCCGTTTTTTCCCCTTGTCTCTTTGGGGCGCGGTATTTCAAGCTAAAGCAGATTTGCCCTTGAGAGCTGCGCGGAAGCTTTGTTGCCTTCGGCTAGGGGCATCCTTGTTGTCTGGCGACCAAATGGGTGTTTCCTGAAACTTGATCCGATTTTGTGGCTGGTTCAGGCGACACAAAGGCCAATAGCCAACTTTGCCATGCTCCGATTCGCAGAGCAACTGCATGCGTTTCGCCAATGTGCAAAGTTTTAGTGTTCGGGACCATAGGTGTCCTTTTGTGCCAGTCAGGTTGAAAACAGATGGCGCTCTTTTCAGTTGGGGTTCAATCATTCGCCAATCTATTTGTGCAAAAGGACGGGGTTTGGACCGCTTTCGCCTTTCGGTCGTCGCAGGCCACTCTGCCCCTTCGCCTGGAGAGCGTAGAGGTTGGGCGCTGAAGATGCGGGGGTCGATCCCCCAGTCATGAGAAGAAGCATCGTTCTTGCCAAGACCAGCTCTTTCCCGTTTTCTTTTTGGGGGTTTTGCGAGGGGGGGGAAGGGGAAACGGATTCCAGATGATTCTCAATACCTGTGCACACTTGAAAGATCGAAGCAGGAGTATCATCCTCCAAAAGGGTAATTAGTGCGGCATTTTGCGGACCAGACTGGTGAACGAAAAGCCGACATCAGTGGGTGAGACATATCTCGGGTTGACTTCAGGGGATACGAGGCACGTGCACGTCGGAAGGCGCTGAAGCGCTTTGTCCGTGAGGAAGACCCCCTGCGCGCGGTGGTAGCCAGATGCATGTTGGCCTGGGGCCCAGTTTTCTTTTGGCTTCGCTGACCGAGCTGGGGTGTGAGTCTTCTTTTGGGTGGGCATTCTTTGGTTGACGCGGGAGAGTTCCATCACCACCGCAACATGTTTTTCGGACTCCAGCTTTCGGGAGGGTTCAAAGGAGATGCAAACAGAAATCACACATGAGGGGGCTCCCTCAAACTAAGAGTGAAGCTCCCCCCAACTCTGAACTCCCTGGTGGCCTGAGAGGAAACGCCCTCTGGTTGCTTTGGACCAAAACAGCCCAAAGGAGACAGGTAGCGGGCGGGCGGGTCGAAAGAACAGGCAGGGAGGTTGGATTTTTTTCCAACCGGGTTCCTTGTCTCTGCCCGCTCCCGAGCTATGAGCTCAGGTGATGTCGAGCCTCCAAACTCGCGCCCACGCCGCGGCCTCAATGCCGCGAGCGAGTAGGCCATAGTCTATCACCATAGGTGTAGTTTGAGGTCAGCTTGGTTGCGAGTTGATGGGTTCTACTGGTACCAGCTTGGTTCTAATCATTTTCCAGTAAGTCGTCCTACGGGGCACCTAGGTCTAGCAGTCTAAGCACCATCTACCTGAGCTTGACGGCTTCAAGCGATTCATCACCCCGAAGAGCCTGTTAACCCCTTTTACCTTTGGGTTATTCCCTTTGCAGCCTGTGAAGCCCCACTCCAACCATTTGCTCGGTGTTTTTAGCCGATCCATTGACCGAGGTGTGGATCGGGAGCTGCGCGCAGGTCCTCCCAAGGCGAACGGATCAAGCAGCACTTCCCGTCGGACGCCGGAGGGGATCTGTTTTCTCTTTGAAAGGCACGTGGGACCTTCCTTTGGAGGACACTTGGGATCATTTTCATTCAAGCTTCACCATACTGAATACATGTACCAGCATCCAACGTATTATGTCAGTTGGGCAAAAGCTGAGGCAGGAATGAGGAGACCGAATGTGGCTCCCTATGAATCGCTTGACTGGGTACATCATGTTCCCTATGTTTGGAGCGGGGTAGTCAGTTTCCATTGGAACATCTTGGGTGGTGTTGATGGATTGATGGTGCCAGTTTGTTCATTCGAGTTCTTTCTATTTCCTTCGGCAGGATGGCCAGCCTTGCGTCGTTGACGTGTGAGCCACTTAGGCCCCCTAGTACTTGGTTTCAGGAGCTTTCCTTTGAATGCAGAAGAGGCGCTCCTAGTTGTGACACATGTTCGAGTTACAAGTCACCGGTTGGACCTCAGAAACTTTTTAGGAAGCGAACGGCCGTCCTGCCACATGGAGCGGGCCCCTGGTTTCAACGCACACGGCATGGATTGGCCCAAGTGCCGTTGCTACCGGGGTGGTTTGGGTGAATCAGGGCGATGCCGGAAGCAGTAGTGTGTGTGTGTGTGTGTGTGTGTTTTGCGGTGCAGGGTCGGTTTGGCCGACGTTTGCCAGGCTTCTGAAGCTAGTTTAGGCAGTTGCAAGCATAAGTCAAACAGATCTGACCATTGCTAAACCACCCGCCCAAAATCCCGGCAAGTATTGACCCTCACTGCCCTGAAACGGCCTCAGGCACTCGAAGCAGCACAAATCTGATTCAGATGCAGGCTGCGGCTCCAGTGTAGCAAGCTTTTATCGGCACAAAACACAAGACCTGGTTGCCCAATCATCCCTGCGAGATGTCATGGGGCAAAGTCAGCGTTTGCGGTTTGACACTTTTGGATACAGGGAGAATCCTCTTTGGGGCCCCTTTAACTCACAGAAAGACATTTGAGGATTTGCCCGATTTTGATGTTAGTTTGGGTCCCTCAGGTTCGGTGAGTTATGTTCCTTTTGTCTTTGTAAGGACTTCCTTGATTCTCATCCCAAACAAAGAGGGACAAGAAATAGACCTGGAACGGAAGGCCATTGACCGCCTGCAGGTGGTTTGCTGGCGTCGCCCACTTTATGCCTGTTTCTGACACTTGTTTGCATTTCGCTAGTCTGGGATTACGCCAAAGTGGGGCAACTGTAGCATGCGCCATTCTGCAATCCGAGAGTCAAATCCCTTAAGTGCAACACCCCCTCAGATGTCAAGATGCAACCAAAGTGACTCCCACAGAACAAATGCAAGCTGGAGAGTTTTGGGATTCAGCTCAAAAAGTCGAGTCGCAGTTTGAGCCGTTCCACATCAGTTTGGGCGACCGCCAGGATGGGGGGACTTTTCCACGGCGTCTTGTTGGACCACCAGTGCGCCGATCTCAACTTTTGCACCTTGTTTTGCGGCAAGGCAGGTCTTGACAAAGGACTGCCCTCAGGAAATTGCAGGCTTGTTCAGTGTTTGGCATGGCAAACTACGTCGCGATCACCAAACCCCTCTAGCCAACTAACCAACATTAACCAACCTTACTAGGGGCTTTAAAGTGCAACAGTATTGGTATGTATTGAAGACGTGATGACCGATGCAGTTTTGACCATGGCGCCGAATTTGAACTGCAGCTCTGGACCCAGGCCCGAGCTATTTGCCGGACCTGGAGGGTCTACAGAGCCGCGGGCAGCTTGCCGAGAGGCCGACAGGGGATGGGACAAGCTTCCTGTGAGTGCTGAGTGGGGTGTCCAAAAAATGGCTTAGCAAGCGGACGCTTGCTCGACAAACGCTTTTGTCGACTGAGAGCAAGTAGCCGTCAAGACACATATACGTGTGTATTGGTATATAATACAACCCTGGTATGCAGCTGGTATTCATTAAATCTGCGTGTAGTTCTCAGTTCAATGAAAGCGATGCGGTCGGGACACAGACATCCCCAGGCAAAAGCAAATGGTTTATGCCACCGATTTTCCAACGGATAGCTACTAGCTTCTCGTTTGTGAGATTTGATTTCACTCCGTTGCGCTGCTTCGGAGCAAATTTCAGCGCACGCTGTCGACATGAATTTGTGTTTTCTTTTTTAAACAGCCGAATGCCAAAGGGGGGTCTCTTCCCATTTTCGGGAGCCGGGACTCTGAACGTAGGGCGCTGGTGGTGGCCAATCACGTGCTCAAGCCTGGGGCGCCCTACTTCCTGTCTCAGGCCGACCCTGTTCGCAGGGCACGGGGGCAAGGCGTTGTCGCTTGTTTATGGCAAACCGTTTGTTGAAGCATCAGTTCACTTAGGCTTGCCTGAAGACAATGATCCAGGGTCCAGTTCAAACCATTTGGCCCAAACTTTGTGGAGAAGGGCCCCAGTTGACCGCGCTTGCAGCTGACTCATGGACGATCCAGGCTTGGTGCAGGTCCAGTGCAGTCCAGTATGTTCGACCAATTTGCGGGTAACATGTCTACTTTGCTCATAGTTAGACAATAATAGTTTGAACAACTAGGCATGGGCTGAAAACAGGAAGCACAACCACACTGAGGATGCTCATACAAACGTAGCAACATGCCTGAGCAGTTGGCCCAGCCCTGGCAACACGGTCAACCCCAGAAAAGCGTGCGGGTCGCAATCTGATTTTTCCCAGACCTTCAGAGATGCGTGTTGTCCGTTTTACTTGAACATACAGTCGACGCATGCACACATTTATGACTATATATCCGAGTATATAAAGCTGACCACCCCCCAAGACTCTACTCGTGTAGCATTGTGTAACCAAAACGCTAAAACCCTATGCTGAGACTTCTCGGATTCCATTTTGATTGCAATCAACGTTAGTCGACTGCCATTTGAACAGGAATTCCAATTTAAATTCTGAAAAAATAGACATTGGAATAACTAATTCCTACACAAGTTTTTTTCTATATTTATCAACCTTCAGACTAACTGTTTGGTTGAATCCCGATTCGAAATGAATGCTCATTTGAAATTCTAACTCACTTGGTAGTTATATAGTTATATGTGTCTTTTTCCTTGCTTGAATTCTATTCATGAAGAGGATGTCTTATTTACGTATATTTTTTGAAGATGAAAGTCTAATTGAACTCTTCACTTATCACTCTTCACTTATCAAGGTTTTTTTTTTATATTCTATTCAACGTTCATTTAACATCAGGTGAGGACATATTCTTTAGATTCTCATTCAAAATCGAACTTCTGATTGACATAACTCCTTGTTGCCATGTATCTAACTTCCAATTGCATTTCAACTAGCATCCACTTTGGTATAGATCCGGCCCAGAAGCATAAAATCTAGGATCGCCTGGCATTACTTACTTTATTCCGGCTGGGATTGTTGGCCTGTCTTTGCTGGTGATGCCGCTGCCTATGTTGGCGGTGGGAACTGTGATGCCTTTCGTTCTCACGCGTTGAACTTCCAGTTACCAGTTTACCCAACTGCTGGATGTATTTGTGTAGCACCAAGGTTAACTTGGATGATAGTTTTGATGCTGACAATTCGAAGCCAAGGGTAAGAGGCGCACTGGTATGTTCAACGGCCCTCACACACGTTTATCAAATGAGGGAGCAATTCCGCACATGTAGGGGATGGGAGCGCTCGTCAGTCAGGTTCGGTCCACCAAATAACCAGCATGAGTCTAGCTACAACATTGACGCATGCCACTCACTTTGACCTCTTTGTCAGTCAAGTCTGTCAGTTTTACAGACATGTTTTCCACCCGCCAATTGTGAACTGGTAGATAAATAGGTTTGGTGATTGGTGAACAGCTTTCACTTATGCCACACTTGCATATGATACCCAACATGAAGGAGCGGATGTCTAATCTGTTCAAGCAACCTTGTTGTGCTCCACAGGATACATCATGCCACGAGGCCAGCTCTTTCCACAGGTCATGCCCCAGCAATTGCGTATCGATTCTAGCAAGCACATTTTTCCACCGATTGCATCCTTGTCAGACGCGATATGATCCAATTCTTCATCTTGTATCACTGAGGTAGTACCAGGTAACCAAATGAGTTTACTTCTCGATTTGCCTCTTGTTGGCGATACCGGCGATACCCGGTGGCAACTGGCAGCTGCGTGTTTCCTCTTGCCGGTAACTTCTGATGGCTCGACTTGGTCACTCGCTGGCCTTTTCGATTCCTCAGATGCTGACCTGCGCGCCCACCCAGGCGGCCGGGGAGGGGGGGGGGATATGGTGGGGTCGAACCTCGCCAGGCAGAGTTCGCCCGAGGTGCTTTTCTGCACACGCGGGATTGCCTTATTTCCTGTTTGGGAATTCGCCCGTGACGGTCCTTTTCCGCACTCGGGGGATTCCTTTACTTCCAGTTTGGGAATCATTGCAATTTGCCCAGCCATGTCCATGTCCTTGAAGCAGTCCAAGCCTTGCTGGACGGTTTCCCACCAACGTGCGCCGAGCTCGCTGCACGGCCGTTTTGCAATGGGTCTGAGGCGCCCAGTCCTGGGTAAATCGTACAAGCTCACCCAGCTCAGGGGTTTGGTATCCCTTATTCCCGGTTTGGAGAAGTATGTTTTGCTTGCTTAGATCTATCTTGTAGTGGCTGATCTCAGGGTTTCTCAAAGGCAAGCGCTGTGAATCACTTTGGAGCATTCCTGGGCCTCCATAGAGGCAAGAGCAGGGGGAGGGCGCGCCAACCGGTGCAGGTCGTGTCCCTGCCGGAGTTCGAGATGCAGGTTGAGGAGATCTGGCACCTCGTGGAAGCTTGAGATCTGGGCCCAAAACTTTGAACAAGCATCCCAATGTTCATAGCGAGTCAGAAGTATCAGCAGTACTATAGTGCTTGGATTTGGACATGTGCAGCGGGGTTCCAAGCATGAACCCACGTTCGGATCTATTTGATAAGAGAAGCCAGAAGGACGCCAACCCAAAATGTGAAGCCTTGCCCCTGGGTTGCTTCCCTTTGGGTTTGCACAGCCGCCTACTATCCTTATACTGCTGCCAGTCTTTCGAGACTTGAAGCTTGAAGACCATTTTGTTCAATCATTCAATGGTGGCTCAATCTCAAAGACTCCTCAGAGTCTGGACAAGCTTTGAGCTCACCGATCTGGCAAAGCGAGCTCACGCATGGCAAATGTCCCTCACCCGGGGCGTCCTTATTCTGAGGTTTGTGAATTGTAGTGATTTACCCAGATCACCATGTTCGAGCGGGTGCGTTTGACAGGTCGGGAGAAGCGGTTTGCACAATCAATGTCAAACCGCATCCACTGTAGCCAAAGGAAGACATTTAATGCACTTATCGAATCGCCACTAGGAAATTGTGGTTACAAGCCCAATGTCATTGGGCCACACAATCACATTGTTGGCTCATATGTCTTCATTCCTGCTGTTTTTTGGCAACATACTTATTGTACAACAGGATCTCGGCCTGGGGACATATTCCGAGTTGTGCATACTTGTTTAGGTGTCAATGACACATCCATGCACGTTCCAACAAATCAGGTGCTAATCCGCCAAATCAGGTCTTTCTTCGTTTGGTGTCGAGCCTTTGCCCCGAGAGGGCCGTCCCTTTTCGCCCGTCAGGACTGGATGACGTGCTCCGTCCTGACCAGGCCAGCGGCTGGCCGAAGCGGCCAGAAATGGCTCGTGCCTCGCCGGGAAGGAATGGGCCCCTCTATTGTAAGCTCAGTCCCTGAGCTCCTGGCCTTTCAGCTTTTTGGGAAGACCAGCTTCGTCGTAAACAAGAAGTTTGGCCTTGGCCAATCCACACAGGAAGTAAGTAACACATGATTTCAAGGAGGTTTCTGTTCGCCACGGATGTCAGAAGGCTAACGCTGGACTTGGGCGGTCGCTGAACAAGTCGAAAGAGCACTGGAGCAGAAGGATGTCCAAGAACTTGGGCCTTTCTCAGGTGTTTTTGCGGTTCCCTTGGATCTCGCCTTCAGAGGCATTCTAGTTGAAGTTTCCTTTTGGGTGATGTTTGGGGCTTAAAAACGACGTACAAGGAGCCATTTGTCTTTCCTTTTCCTTTCCTTTCTGACCAACGCCTGCCCAAATCTCTTTGCATTGTGAATTGTTTTTCGGCAGCTGGCAATCAGTGACCTCACAACAACAGCTCTCTAAGCTCACTGGCACCATGCGTAGCCCAGCCCAGTGGATGCTGTCCTCTGACCCAGCCATTCTGGGTGGACACGCCCCCAGGATCCGACAGCTAGAATGCTAGTTCAAAAGTCAATTGGTTTTTGAAGGTGGTGAGTTAGGTGCCGCTTTTTGTCACCCGTGGCTTGTGCAGGCCTCTGGTGTCGCCAAAGTGCCCACCAGGCACGGCTCGCTCGGGCGTCAAAGCAGCAGCAGGTCCCAATGGGTAGATATTTGGTTTGAGGCCAACTTTCTGCTATACCAAGGTTCCCCCAAAGTGGTAAAGTAGTCATGGTCATGACCCATATTGGTATCTTGGAATAGGCGCGTTTTCACTACCCCCAAGCCGCAACCGGGGCCAAGGGTTGAATCGGATTTTTCTTCCGCTGTATGGCCACTAAAGCAGGGTGCACTGTTTCCACTTTGGGGTGGACAAGATCTTGGAATTGAATTCGGGGTCCTTGAGGCGGGTCTCACAAAAGCAGGCCCATGGTTGGGACCTCACCTTTGTGGGCTGTTGGTGAATGATGACGACTCAGAGAGACTACTATAAACAGGTGCGTGTGTAGCATCACCCACGTAGTGGGGTATTCAAACAGTGATCAGAACGGATTCCTATTGAGGGAATCGCACCCATGATCCACATAATGACTTACCCTAAGAGAAAGCATTCTTGAGTACTTATTTGGGCGTGCGTTTTGCCTGGTGAGAACCAAAGGGCCAACCCGACACCGTGTTTCGATGTCTCCATATCCCATTTGCAGGTATATAAACCCAATGAGCGAGAAATTCGTCCAAGATCAGCGCTGTGTTGCTATTCCTGGCAACCAGGTAGATGCTTTTCACAATGTGGTAGGTACGCTGAGGAAGCCACCGTTACATTTGAGGGTTCATAGCCAAGGAAAGCACCATCCAGAGGTCTTTCCTTGCATACGGAGTCGCCCCCGCGCCACTTGGCAAGTGAACATGGATCCTAGGCTGTAACATTGGCGCGTCTCGCAGTTTACACTCAAGCGAGGCCAGGGGGTTGCCGGGAAAAAGATGTAAGCCCACCCCACCCTTGATTTTTTTCATGAGGAAGGAGGGCCAGAAGGCATTTTGAAGCACCAGGGGACATGTCAAGGTAGTTTCGGCGGCCGGATCAGAACGGGCAACTGGTTGGCACTTGGTTTTAGATTCAGGCATCCAGGACTTGTCCGAGCTCTCCGCGGCCATGCTGCCGGAAGTCCTAGCTCAAGGCTTCGCCTAGGCTTCGCTTCGGCCGAATCGAAGGCTGGGCAAGAGGCAAAGCAGTTTGGGTTCTCAACAAGTACGCTTTGGTCCCGGCAGTTTCTCGTTTCACCATCATTTAGCTCGGGTAATTTTGAGGATGCAAGTTGGGGGCTGTCACGAAAAGTCGGTCATTGGGCTTTTGTCTACGAGTGGCACGAGCGATTCCCGCAACCCTGCTACAAGGTTCAAGAAATGAGCCTTGCTTTTTCGGTGTGGCATGGGAAAAAGGGGCGTGGGTACGAAGAGTTAGTCGGTAGTATACCCCCTTCTCAAAAAGGAGCACCCAATCTCTGAAAGTTTACTTTGAAGGGAAGGGCCGGCCCCTTTAAAAAAAACGCGTTGGAAAAAAAAGCATCACAAGAAATCTGGGCCGGAGGTTTGCGTAGGAAGATGCTGTGAGCTGGGGGCAATGGAAGGCTTGAAGGCCTTTGGAAGACTACCATCCTCTTTTGAACAGTTCCTGGTCCATTCCTTTATTTGTAAAGAAAAGGGTAATGAACCGAGGGATGGGCGCCACAATTCTTTTTGACGAGTTTTGGGCAGAGGTGTTCCAGCTTGCGTCGTGTGACATGTAATGAGCATCCTGGTTGCTTTTTGGCACAAGGGTCACCCCAACACGATAATCCCTTTTGTTTGATGCCGCTGGTGGGTGGTTTCCTTTTTGGTTGCTCAGCTTTGTCAGGAATGGTTGCTGCAGGAGCTTGGCATGTGTAAAAGCCAAGCAAGGCCGACGTGAGCTCAAACACGCGCAGGTTTTCTGTGAGGGTCCCGGTGTGGAGGGTTCGTTTCTTCCAGGTGTTGCTTCCTGATTGAGTGAGGCGATCGAAAGTAGTGGCTGGCCTTGGGTGCCAGGGGAAGTGCCCGTACCATCCAGGATTCCACGTCACTCACATGAGCAACAGACGAGAGTACGTGGCGTGGTGGGCCCCTATTTTTTTCTGGCAGTAAAAATGCCGGGAAGTCACTCGCAGGCTGGGCGCGCAAAAATAATGAGTGATTTCCCCCCTCGCATGTCCCTCCCGTCAGCTCCGACAACGCTGACACAACGAATGAAGCAGCAATAGCCCTTGCCATCAAGTTTCAAGCGGCTTGAATGATTCCGATGATAGGGTACCTTCAATTCACATTTTTTTGAGTCCAGAGGCGAAATACGCGGACCAACTATTGAATGCTATGAGTCTTATATGTCACAACAGAACAGTGTGGGAAGGTTTTATAGAGGACATGTACCATGCCCGAACCTCGGGCAAACTCTGCTCCAGCGGTTGATGCCTCGATCAGTCTTTCTTGCGTTGCCTTCACAAGAAAGCCATGACGTTGTCAAAGCCATGACGTTGTATGTAGTTACTTGCAATGGACGTGGCTGGCTTTCGGCAACCTCTCGATCCATCTTGGAAACACCGCTTGCTGAAACTTGAGTTTTGTTCCCTATGTGCCAGGATCCTTCTTTCCGAAAATACATCAACCACAACAGGAAAGGCTGGACGTGGCTGGATTTTGAACAGAACGATGCTTGACAAAGATGGGGAATTCTCCCCCGATCCGAAACCTCTCTAAGCCCGCCTTCATCCTCAACTCAACCAACCCAACCAACCCAAACTCCATTTGAACCAACCCTAGACCAATCCTAAACCGACCCACCTAAAGCAACCGCAAACACACCCTAGACCAGCCTTTAAGCCAACTCTAGACCTACCCAGAAGCCCACCTACACACCCGCACGCCACCCTCTGAACCCCTAAACCCACCCTAAACCACCCTACACCCACCCCGAACCTAACAAACCAACCCTGAACGGACCCCGAAGCCCACCCTAAACCAACCCCCCAAACGCACCCTGAACCTGAACCCACCCCAAAAACCGAAACCAAAACCCGCCCTAAACCAACCCTGAACACCCTAAATCACCCTACAAGAGCCTAGATGCCTGTCACTCAGCTTGCTTTCATTCTCCTGCCCAGTTTGACTAAAGGACCCGCCAAGTATCCTCGTTATGGTGGCGGTTCATGCACCAAGGACGTCCTGGATGACGGTAACCGCGAACGCACCCGTAAACCCATCCTACCCTAAACCAATAACCTGCCCACCCCAAACCCATCCTAAACCTACCCAACTAAACCCAACCTAAACCTACCCGAAGCCTACCCTAAGCATAGGACCTTGAACCCTAAACCCAACCAACACTGAACCCCACCCTAAACTACCAGAACCACACTAAACCCACCTGAAACCCACCTTAATTCTCAACCGATCCAACCTTGCGCCAACCCAAGCTCCATCTAACTCTCAACCTAAGGCCCCAAACCGCCCCAACCAAACCCGAACCCCCAACCCTAAACCCTAAGCGCGCCCTAGACCCACCTTAAACCACTCCAAAGATGACCGGAAAATGGAACGGATAAAAATTCCCAACAGCGCTGAAAAGCAAGAAGAAAAAAAAGCAAAACAAGTCGGCCCCCTTTCTGGCCCCCCCACTCACGCCGCTACACAAACACCGGCTTCCCCCAAGGGCCCGCGCGAGTGACCGCGGCAGCCGCCTGCGCCAGGTGGGAGCGCCCAAAGAGCAACCGCAAGGGTATCACGGATTGGGGTCTCCTTTGAAATGAGTTTTCCTTCATATCATGCTTGTTTTGGGGCAGAACCTGAGGTGGCAATGGGACGTACGTAAGTCATCTGTGTGGGCATGCTGGTCATATTCTTTTGATCTTTGTACACTCCTCTTGGGGTTTTCTGCCTTCTTCTTTTTTTGCCCGGGTACAAACCCGGGCTACGTCGAAAGAGCTGCTGGCGCGCGGCAAGCAGGCTCCCCAGATGAGAATGGAACCAAACGCCCGTCGTAGAGGAATCTCCTTGGACCCGTTGAACCATTTCCATGAGATGCCCATTTGTCTCTGGGATGTTGGCAAATTGAAGCTGGCAGAACTCTGTGTTTGGCGCCCCTTTAACACTGGAACAGCCTTTTTGGCTTAATGCAGTGTTGAATGGTGATCTTGTGGCTTTCTATGCGACACTTGACGACATGAGGATCAGCCGATGGGGATGGTCAGTGGGACGGTCACAATTGTGAGCAACTTTTGAATGGCTGGGAGGGCCATGACCATGCCGGGGTGCGTGGCCTTGTATGGGTTTCACATGTTTGCTTCCCGACGATGCACATTGGGAAAATCCTTCGATGCGCTCAGGCCCAGGCACGTCCCAAGATGTTGACTTGCAGTACTCCGGCGTTCGGTCGAGGTTGTATGTTTGTGTGTGTGTGTGTTGTGTGGGTGTGGGTGTGGGGGTGTGCGTGTGCGTGTGCGTGTGCGCGTGCGTGTGCGTGTGTGAGCGCGTGCGCGCGTGGCTTGTGGGTAGTATTGATTCACAATTCGCTCGGGTGCACTGAAGAATGGCCCCCCTCCAATCATGATCAGGGCAAACCTAGTGGGGTCAGCGGGCTTTTCTGAGAGGTTCTAAGAAGGCCAATCCCCTTCGCAGCAGCTCAGAAGATGTTGCATGGCCTTCTCGGAAGGCTCTGGGCCCTTCTTAGAAGCGATTTTGCCACACAACTAGTATCCCTACGGGAAGGTGCCAAGACTATTCGCTCGGTGCTAGGTTGGTGGGGACACACATCCCAAAATGGGCTTCCCTCTCAAACCCAACAAGGGCCACCAACTCCAAAAAAGGGGACGCGCACCACCGGTGGTGCGTCGCGACGGAGGCCAGCAAGACGTTGGAGGACTGGAGGAGCTTTGCGGGAGCCATGAAAGCTGGCGCGCGGCCTCAGTTTTGCTATGAAAATGGGGAGAGAGTTGTGGCGAGTACCCGAGTACCCCACCCCCGAACGTTCCCCTAGCAAATGCCTGTTGGTCATGGTGAAAAGGCCGGATGGCCGTGGCGTGCTTTTTGGTGTGCGAATGGACGGTAGGTAGTTGGATTCAGTGTGCCTGCCACTTGTTGTATTGTGTTTGCCCAGGTCTGTCTGTCTGTCCGTCTGTGTGTCTGTTTCTCTGGAGTTGCTGGTTTGGAGTAAGGCTGAGTAAGGGCACGGACTTTTTGCCTGTTTCAAACTTCATGGAAGGGCGAAGCCGTTTCTTTATGGCAAGCTGAAGCGGTAGTGTGCCTTCTTATATACTTGACTTTCTTGATAGCAGGGAGCTCATGTTGGGAGGGGGCCAAAGCACTACCTGCCATTCAATCCGTGGTTTGTCGTGTGAAGGGGTAGGTGCCCAACATAGCATAGCAGGCCCGGTATCATGCTCTCCGAAGAATGGTTGATATCTCTAGGCTAGGTCAAGACAGCACTTGCCGAACTAGATCACCCACATGATTCAGGGAAAGGGCGACAAAGCCAATGCTTTACACGATTTCTGTCCTCCAAACCCTCCCAATTGGTAGTGCAGTCCCAGATGCTCTTGATCCTAAATTCCAATCGCACGCGAAGCATGAACTTGCGCCACTTCAACCGTTGCCAACATCAGGCAGCAACACCTCGGCCGGGCGCACATTCGGTTGCTTCATGAGGGGCCAGCCTTCTGTCCTTGCCGCAACCCCGCGGTCGTTCTTTCCCAAGCCCCAAACCGCCGGGTCTTCGGCGTCCCCTTTTCAGAGCGAAGCTCTCAGGCCTCGCGGAGCGGCAGGCGAGCGGCGGATCGGTTTTTTAACCAAACAAACATGATCAACCATGGGGGTTTTGGGTGGGGAACGGGCCTTCTGACGTGAAGCCATCCATTGTGGAGGGCTCCAGGAGACTAACCAGCCTGCCCAGCGAATCATGCGACAAAAAAAGCAACAACAATGTCTCAACCGTCTTTTCTCCTCACTTAAATTCGATCCCAAATGGTCTCCCCTTCTCTCATTCGCGGAGCCCGGCGCAAGCCGCCAAGTCTGGCCCATCAAGGCGGATATAGCTTGTGTTTGCTGATGTGAAGTCAAAAGGCAGAGCAGGCTCTTTACTGGGGTCATTACTTTGACGGTTTGTGGGGGTCATCAAAGTCAGAAATGGGACTGTTTCCCTTTAACCCACCACTTCGGGGGTGACTTTGATCGTGGTAACATAATGAGGCCAGCGTTGCCAACCACGGGTGGGAACCAAAGGCTTATCGTTGTCGGAACCAAAGGCTTATCGTTGTCCGGTGCTTCCCTTGTCTTTTCTAAAGCCCACCCTTGCACACCTGGAGAGTATATATATATATATGTATGGTGTTCTAAAGCCCACCCTTCCTGGACACCTTGGAGTGGTGTGAAAAGGACTGCAACGGCAGATACCTGCTGCTTCGCATGGGAACACCCCCCGTGCCACTTGGAACACCTGCCAGATCATCCCCAACGCCTCTCTCGTGCCTGGCTTAGCATCGGGCGGCGGTGGCGGTCTCCCAGGCTTTGGTAAGGAGTTGCAGCTCTTCCCCATACATGGAACCCCTGGAACCCCCCACAAAAGGGTCCAACTGCCGGCAAGAGGTCCTCTACAAAAGGTGTTTGGGGTTCCACGTTGAATCTGAAGACTATGCGGCCGTTTGTGTGGCAAAACGGTTGGTTTGTTTGTTTTTTCCCCGACAAATCCGCAAAGCGAGAATCTGGGCAAACGTCGAGTTTATGAACCGAAACTAGAGTTCCAGTGTTGTGGGCACAAGACCTGATGGCTGGAGGTTATAAGGGATAGTCATTGATCCTTTGATTCGGTGTTGGAGCAACATAACGAGGGTGTTCACTGGGAAGCGACCATGGACTACATGAGGAGTTGTGATGGCACGGTCAATGAGTCAGGGATTTTCGAGCCGCTCCTGCAACTGGCTCAGACCTCGCGGAACTCTGGCTGGGGAGCAAGGCCTGTAGCCGTGAGTTTCTGTTGGCCAATTGTTCAAGGTTCGCGGATTGTCCTGGGTGTATCCCAAGGCTGTCAATCAACATCTGTGATATGGAATGTTTGCAGCAATCGCCCGCGTGCAAGAGACGGGTCCGATGCAATGCTTAAACGTCTCAGTGCTCCCATAGTGCCACGTGCTCAGCTCGCTTCGCTCCATGGACCGCCCCAAGCGTGCTCCGACGTTGTCGCCGGGCGACGGCAGGAAGCGGGATTGGGCAGCCATCCTGTCTCACATAGAGCTGGATTGGCTGGAGGAGCAGCCGGGCTGTGAGCGGAACAACCGCGACGGCGACACCGTGGCCTTCAGACACTTGGTGCTAAATGACCCGTAATGTAATGTTGACCCCACATTATTAATCAACTCCAGCGCATTAAGGAGGGGGTGTCCCTGGGTTTAGTGAGGATTCATCACTTTTGGAGGGAAACACCCCCCATGTTCATCAGCAGAGGTGTATCCGGGGTCAACATCACTTTGCCGTACGCAAAGGGACACCAAATAGGGACGGGCAATTGGTAGAGCCCTATTTCGCCCTCAGGACACAAGGGATTTATCGCCGAGCTGCCTGCTGGCAAGACGACGGATGCCCAGGGCAAGCCTCTGCAGGTTGGCACGCAGATGGACTCCAACATCAATCCCAAAAGTAAGGAGGATGGGGGCTGGCAAACTCTTTCAAAGAAAGTACCATGGCCGCCTTTAGATAAAATCCCAAAGGAGGTTTGCCAAATGTGTTGCAAGGCGCATGGCCACCTGTAGAACGCGGTTTGCCAAAGTTGATAGCATGGCCACCTTCAGAACGCGGTTTAGCAAATTGTTTCAAGAAACATGGCCACATCTAGAACACGATTGCCGGATTTGCTCGAGAAGCATGGCCACCACAGATGGACAGCCAAGAGAGGTTTGCCAAATTTGGTTAACCGACCTTGATTTTTCATCTTTTGATGGAAGCCCAAAGGATATTGTATACACTAGGTAGTCCAAGCATTCCTAAATCAGGTGAATCGCACCCTGAGGATCGGCCGTTGGAGTTTATGCTGGGAACCCCCAAGCTGGTGGTAGGTATGGAAGCGGTGCTGCGCGTTATGTGCGAGGGTGAGAAGGTGAGGGCCAAAATCCCGGGGCCTTTGGCCTACAACACAGTTCCCGGGTTTCTGCCCTACGATACCGTGGTACTCTACGAGATGGACGCGGTGACCATCACCCGAGGAGCGGGCACTGTACCTGTGGAATCTTTGGGCGAGCCATCCGCGCCCTGGCCACGGGTTTTGCTGCCGGCGCTGGCGCTGCCTGTGCTGGCTGTGCTGGGGTTCGTTTTCCATGTTCGCGGGAGGGGCAAGGAAGGCAAGGAAGGCAAGAAGGGCAAGAAAGAAGGTAAGAAGAAGCGCTGAGGAGCTGAAAGCTCAAGCCGGATTCGCCAAAAGCGCCTAAACTGGTGGGATCACCAAAAGCGTATCCCGTGTGAATCCATCGGCATATTGTTGACCTCTCATGAATGACACCCCTCCACTCAATATCAAGTCTAAGGGGACTCGGGTCCGACCCTCCGGACAATGATTAGGGCGTTTCATCAGGGGTCAGCGATTTGAAGCCCTCGACTTCCGGGTCCATGGACCCGGCGACCATCGGACTCTATCGTCTTCAAAGCGCTGGCAGTCAGAATCTGCATGTCCTGACCGTCTTGGCCTTTGGCCGAAGCTTCATGATCCAAGCAGTCGAGATTTCTTGAATGTGTGAGGGGTTTGTTAGTGCCCATTGGCTGGGAAAGCGGAAAAGGGAATCCCTCCATTTTCCCCCGCCCCTTAGAGTGTTCCAACCGAGGCCAACTGGACTGCTGCAGCCGCGAAGCAAAAACAGCTTGGGTCATAGGATCCACCCTGTCTCCCCCCCCGCCCCCCAAAGAAAAAGAGAGAGAATCAGCTAATCCGGCGGAAGGGGATCCTATGATTGGGCGGGAGCTGCGCGCAGCTGCGCTGTAAGCTGTAAGCTTTCAAGATCCCGGGTCGAGTAGACGATGTGCATGTGTTGCAGTCTAGGGGCGTTTGTTTGTTTTGGTCCTAGTGTCGCTCATGCGAACCCTCACGCTCCTTGAGACAGACATTTCGTCGCTCTGAGCTGCAGGGCTCAGAACCCACTGATGTAATGACGATAAATATAGCTGTGGTCATTGTTTTGACGGTTTCTGGAGGTTATCAAAGTCAGAAAATGGGGTTGTTTCCCTTTAACCCACCACTTAGGGGTGACTTTGATCATAGTAAAATAATGAGGCCAGTATAGGTTCGAGCGTTGGGCTCTCACGGTCAATCTCGAACACGGAAGACACAACCACTGTCCACAATTCGCCAATGATTGGCTACCTGGAGCTCTTTTGGCGCCGCCATCGCTGCCGGCGCTGCAGTTTCCAGGCCCTCTCGTGTTTCAAAAGGTCTCAAAATGGGTGGGTTTCCCTTTGCGTTCTCTTCAAAACACAGCCAAAAGGGCCCCCCTCTATTTTGAGACAGGCCACCAGGCTTCTGCAAGGGCTTGTAAGCTTCCTAACGCGTGCACAAGCCCACGCTTGGCTTGTGGTTAGGGGACCAAGGCCGTGTAAGGGTTGGGCGACACAAAATTAATGCATGCATGTTTAGAGGCGTGCGTGGCGGTCAGAATTTGGGTTTGGTGGAGATGCATGTACAGACCCCAACTTTCTGGATCTCAAGGCTTGCAAAGCTTGGAGTGAAGATACCGTAGCCTTTTGTAAGACTCTAAAATCGGCACTATGATTTGGGCATGCAACACCACAGATATCTGGGCTTGGCGGTGGTCTTAAACCTGTTCAGTCAAACCCAGGGTGGGAAGGCGTGGTGCCCCGAGGAAGGATCCCCTTGTGTGCGCTCAGAAAACTGCACAAGAATGCCATGTTTGATCCTGCAGCACCTTGCGCGTTGTCAAAAGCGGATAAGACACCTCATGGCGGTGCATGGCTGCAAGGCACCGAAGGGCCCCCATTCAGCCGGACGTCAACAGGAACAAGACGAAGCCTTGTCAAGGGTTTGTCTCAGAATGAGGCACCCCTCCAAATGAGTGATTTCCTGCAACATTCAACTAACAAGGGCATCTTATTTTATGGCACGTATGCAGAACCCTCGAAAACGCAAGGGTTTTTCCTTTTTGTGTTCGCCTGAGTTGCCCGGAAAATCAGGGCTTTGGCAGTGTTCCTACAAATCTTCCCATTTGTGCCATGGTCAAACCACGTGTTGTGGGTCAACTTGGGATGATCCGCCCAAGGGCTCGTGTTTGCATTTTGATGAGGGAGCCAGCTGACCTGGCCCATGTTCGGCTTGGGTTGCGCAGGTTTTCGGCGCCAGAGCGCAAGCTGGAGATTTGGCCACCGGTTCGGCGGCCAACAGTGTTTCCTGGCCGCAACGCTGGTGTACTTGACAAGCTGAAATCTCGATCAAAGTTCGAGCACTGCTTCATAACCCAGCACTGGCCCTTGTCGGGACACGCAGAAGCAGCGCGCGACAACTTCACGCCCCAATTTCGAGTCAAATCCAGTCAGACCAATTTGAGCAGAGGGCCAAGTTGGAGCATGATGTCCTGTTTTTGTTGTGCCAATAGGCCACATATGACCGATGTGTTGAGTTTGCTTGACCTGGGGACACTGGTGTTGGAGCAGAAAACCTAGCTTGTGAAGCAGCCCTCGCGATTCTGAGGTTTCTCAGAGGACCTGCATTTGGAGAGCGCGAACCTGACGACTTGGGAGGAAGGCCTGGAAATGCATGTTGAAATCGCGTGTATACATGTGGTACTCCTCGCCACAAAAAGAAAAACAACTACACATGTTTTCAGATCTTCGCTGCATGTTGCCCCCGATCACCAAGCAGATTAAAATAAAATAAACAAAGCAGTATTTCTGGCATTTGGCCCTGCTCTAGACTAAACACCATCAGGAAGAAGCATCTCTGGTTTTATTTTTAGTATTTTGGGGATGTTGCGACCAAATAAACAACAAACACTGTTCATCCATGGTGGGGTTAGGACTGGCTTGTGTCTTTTTTTGCCTTTTGGTCTAGTGTCTCTGTGCTAATATTGGGCAACTTCATAACATGTTGAACATCATTTGCGCACCAAGCTGAGAGCCTCGGAAAGTTTGCGCAACATGTGGCCGGCGTGCAAGAGACCAAAGCAGAGAACAAACTTTCCAGCCCTGGCGAGGGCAGGATTGTTTGTTCGGTCTAGTTGCTCTGCGGAAATTGTGGGCAACACAACATGGTGCGCAGCATTGCCAAATGTTGCGCAACATTTGCGAACCAAGCTGAGAGCCTCGGACATGTTGCGCAATGTTGCGCAGTGCTGCGCAGCATTTGTGACTTTTTGCAAATATGTTCATCTTTTTTGGTGGCCTGAACGCAAGACTCCCAAGAAATTTATCTGCGCAACTTTGGATCTTGGCTCCAGTCCATTTTTTCAAAGTTCGTCCAGACACTTGTTGTTTCTTTTTTTCTCAGGCCCTTCTTGTTCCCTGCTTGGCTTGACCCTCATTTTTGAGAGGAACATGATGTACACTGCTCAGTTTGGTTTTTGAGGAGAGGAATCCTGATTTGACAAATGCTGGAAAAATACCGCATTTTTTGTACTTTGTTTTCTTGCCGGGAAGCAGGCTTATGTTGATTGAAACACTGCCCAGTGGTTGGCTTGGCTCAGTTCGTGCATACTCAAAGTTTCATGGAATGAGATATCCGCAATAAACCTTTTGAAATGGAAATTGAGTTTTAATGTCAACTTGCAATTTCAATAGTTATTCTCTGCAGTTTGAAGCATAAAGAAATGCAATTGCTGAAGGCTGGCCTTGTATTGAACTTGAACAAGCAATTGAGTTTGGGTTCCCATATTTGATTCTCAATACATGTTATTGAGACTGTTCTAAAATAATGAAACTAGATAAACAACACACCAATTGGATAGGAATTGCTTTCCAAAGGATATTTTGATAGAGGTGAACTGAGCACCTTTATAATCAATTTGAATGTCACTTTCATGAAGCAATTTTGAAGGGATTTTCTCAACATTGAAGGTTTGCTGAGTTCCCCTGCAAAATGATAAGAGTGAAACAACGATACCAGAGTTGCTGCAGGCACCTTGATGCTGCCTTTTGCGTACTACGCTGATCGCTTACTACAGGTGGATGAGACTCAAGATTCAAGATGCTGAAAAAAATGTTTGGGGAATCTTGAGCCTTTACCTCAAAGTGGCTTTAAAGTCAAGTTTCACAAGAATCAAGATTCAAGATTCTGAAAGACTGTTTCTGATGCATTTTGCATCTCAACACACTAAATAATGCAATCGTAGTAGGTGTTATATTTTTTGTTTATTTAAGACACTGCTCTATCTAATCTATCTATCTATCTGTCTGTCTGTCTGTCTGTCTGTCTGTCTGTCTGTCTGTCTGTCTGTCTATCTGTCTGTCTGTCTGTCTGTCTGTCTATCTGTCTATCTGTCTATCTGTCTATCTGTCTATCTGTCTATCTGTCTATCTGTCTGTCTGTGTGTCTGTCTATCTGTCTATCTGTCTGTCAATCTAGTCTATCTAGTCTATCTATCTATCTATCTATCTATCTATTTATGTTTTTTATTTATTTATTTACCTTTTTATTTCTGTATTTATTATTGTTTGTTTTGTTGGGGAGTATGCACATGTTTGTGTATATATATATATATTGTAGACATGTGTGCGTGCCTGCAAGTGAGCATTCAAAGGATGCGCTGCAGTAGCCCATGCTGTTGTGATGATTTGCAAGCTGGATGACATGATTGCACAACGCTGAGACGAGGGCAAGTTGAAACCTTGGAGCAAACCGGACATGTTCTTGCAGACATTGACGCCGCAAGCGGAAGAGCGAATCTCAGATCACTGCTAGCCATGGAAGCCTCGTTTGAGTTCTTGAGTCCGAAGCAGGTGAAGACGTTGTCGAGTGAGCCTAAAGCCCTGGAGGTCCTGAAGGCGTGCAACCAAGCCTTCATCGTCCGCCAGCAAAAGATTGTGGCCTGCTGGATCGCCAGTTTGGAGGACAAGGAGAGCTCTGCCAGCGAGCGCCAGACGAGGGGGTCAAAGAAGATTGTCACCGACGTCAAGAAGCAGGCTGAGCGCGAGGAAACCGACTTGAAAGAGCACCTGGCCAACCTCGATGCGAAACCCTGGCCCTACACCAGCCTGGAAGATTTCATGGGCGACCTCATGGTCCAGTCGGCGGCTACAACTCTGGCCATGGGTGATGTCTACTTGATGCTCGATCGTGAGGTGGGTGTTCGCCTGACCGGCAAGCTGGAGGATGTGAGACTTGTGCTGGAGCAGGTGACTAAGAAGATCGAGGAGAAGTACAAGAACAGCCCCCCCAAGGACGGCAAGGAGCTAGATTTGTTTGTGGAAAAAACTGTAACAGCCCTTTCGTTGCCCGTGGTGGGCTTTTCTCAGCCTCCCGGCAAGAAGCTGTACAAACAGATCAGCGGCAACCTGGGCAACCTCATGCATGCTATGTATGACCGGCTCAGCCTCGAGCAGCGTGTGACGGATGGGCTCAACCCATTTGGCCGCTTCGACCGTCGCCAGCAGCTCGAGGTCTTCGCGGAGAGCCAAAAGACCCGGGCGCAGCTTCAGAACAAGATCAACGATAAGCACCTTGTCCAAGACTAAACTGTACCAAACTAAAAAATCAGGCGAGGTGACCCCAAACCGACTCACTTTTGGTCACTTGTGATCTTTTATATTTTTGAATGAGGTACAGTAGCGAGCAGATCAAGGTCTTGATGAAAAAGCCTGACCCAAAACAGCACGCCCCGCACTTGACCTTGAACCTCACCACTGGCGCCCTGCACGTCTACGAGAAGAGCGAGGATGGGAAGTTCAGCTCCTTCGCGTCGTACCCGTGGACCTTGAAGAAGGAGGCTGCCTGGCGCACGTCGCTGGAGGGCAAGTTTCGGGAGCTGGGCTCGGACCTGCCGGAGGCTCGGCAAGTGGATCGGGTGAAGCCCGTGGGCTCCGCCAGAAGTGCGACGCCGAACAGCGTCATGGGCTGTAGCGCCAAGGAGTTCGCACAAGCTTCGACTTCGGCGCCAGTCAAAGGAGAGTATGAGTGGCTGCATCGGATGGCGCACTCTCTCAACGGCAAGGATGCCTATACTAACTTGGTTTGTGGGTCCGACTTTGCGAACTCCTACATGATGGTTTTCGAGAAGGTTGCCCGCAGCCTTGGCTCGGGCGCCAAAGTGACGACCACGGTGCTCGGTGAAGCTGGGTCAGAAGCAGGTGGCCTCCATCGCTACGCGCCCTTCAAGATGAAGTACGAGGTCTGGGGACAGCTCTCCGATCTGGTGCTCAGCCAGACTTTCCACATCCGGGAGAAACTGCAACCCAGCCAATGGCTCAATGCCATTGTGGAGATCGTCCACGAGCTGGGCCTGCTGCCACGAAAGAAGAGGAAGGCAGACTCGGGCAAGATGCTGCTGGCAATGGGGAGCGAGGGCTCCAGGCGGGTTGGTCTGAAAATTAGAACACCTTCCAAATTCCTTCAACCCCCCCCCCCCGCCCCCGCATCGTGTGTGTCAAGAAGAAAGACATCCCCAGGTGGCGCTGGCTGCCCATCCCCACGCCCCAGAAGTCGAACCTCCGCCTGCCCTGGCGGCCCAAACACGGCACGAGCTGCTTTCGAGCTTCCGTCGCGCTTCCGGGCCCGGTCATTGATGTGGCTTTCATGGAAAAGCTCCTCAGCCTGCCCGATATCAGCGAGGTCCGACTTATGACGGAGGATGAGCAGAGGGCTTTCTACCAAGCTGGCGTCAAGGAGGATCCAGACTTCGCCAAGGCCTTTGATGAGCCCCCGTTGAAAGACGCGGAGCAGGCAGTGATTTGCGAGGCAGAAGTTGGGGGTGTACCTTGTACCGTAAGGCCGGGCCAAGCTGGTTTTCGGGGTCTCGCAAGCTTTTGACAGTCCTTCTTGGGATCTTGGATTTTGACGGTAGAACGGGTTCAGTAAAGGTCGCTGCTAAAGTTCAAGGGCGAGGAGACCTTCTTCATTGCTGCAGCGTACCCTCGTGAAAGCTCCTTCTTGGGCGACGCCCAGCTGGCCGAGCTGACGCTGCAGAAGCAGCGCCTGGTTACGCGGCGCTTCGAAGGGGACTCAGTTCTTGAGCCGGTCCTTTCTGGCACAGTAGACGCGGGGAAGCTGCTCAGCTTTGTCCCTGGCTTTCCGAGTGACCTGCGGGTGATGCTGAAGGCCACTTTCGCAGGGGCGGAGAAGATGACAGATGTAGAGGAGGGCCTGTCTCCCAGCTCCTTTGAGGGCAGCTTTGATCCCAAACTCACCTTGACAATGGGCGGGCTTACAATCGATCAGCTCGGCATCGGAGCCAGGTTTCCCTGGGTTTTGGATGTTGGCCGCCTGTCCCGGACCTTCATGCCTTCGATCTTTGCCACGGGCCATTTGACGAAGAGTGTGCCGTTTCGGCTTGCGGCAAGCCGGGAAGCCTCCGGCTTCGCCCTGACCGGCAGTGTCCACCACTGGGTGCATCCTTTCGGGCTGCAGGGCTTTCAGCTGAAGGACCTCTACCTCAAGGCAACTGTAGATCCCTTCAGCCTGGAGATCAGCACCTCCATCCGCAGTGGCGACTTGGTGGATCAAGTGCGCTGCGACCTGTTTGGTGTGTGGTCGGAAGAGGACGGGGCTCACCTCTCTGCCAATGTGGCCCAGCCAATGACACTGCGGCAGCTCTCGGAACTGCACATGCACCTCACGGGCGGCCTGCAGCCTGCGCAAGTGCACCAAGATGTGGCGCACCGTTTGCTGGCAAGCCGGCGTGAGTTGAGCGTATCTTTCCTTTCCATGCACGGCTGTGTTTGCTAGCCGGAGTTAATCTTGCTTTAGCAGCTGTATTAAGTCATAGCAGGGCCTGGCCGAATCTTAAACATTCACTTGTCTCAGCCCGCCATCTCTTGTAAACAATCAATCTTTTGACCAACCTTCTTTCCAGTCCTCATTTGGTTCGAACCACGGGTCTTATAAGGAGAGCCTGCAGCTCGAACTGGCCACGAAGACCACGGAGGTGGCGGGCAAGACCCGTCAGCCAGGGCTGTACGTTCTTGGGGACCTCTACTTCGCCGACCACAAGTTGGCTGTACAGGTAGAGGCCGCGATCTCCCGAGACCTGCTGCTCCAGGGCACCATCCAGGGCTTGAAGGTGGGACCTTTCGAGTTGGGGAGCCTCACTCTGCAAGTCCACCTCAGTCAGACAAAAACATACGCGGTGGCTGTAGCCGAGAATATCTCCATTCACGGCCTGGATGGAGTGGAGGCAACGTTGCTGGTGGGGGTGGGCAAGGACCTTTGTGCCTTTGCTGAGATCCGGGACTTGTCCCTGGACAAGCTGAGCCCGGAGCTGGAGTGGCTCCAGGTGACCTTTGACTCCATCGCCTTCTCGCAAAGCGAGGTAGAGCAGGACTTTGAGCTCCCTGACCCCACTGAAGGCACCATCACCAAGCGCTTGATGGCAGGGAGGCGCCTGGTTGGCCAGATGGACCTCTACCTGTTTCACACACTCTTTGGTGTTGACGTGTCCGTGAATTTTGCCTATGACTTCAACACGCGCGAGTTTGATCTTCAGCCGAGCCTCGACTCTGTGGCAAGTCTTGGGTCGCAAGACATGACCGCGCGCTTTGGCAAAGCGGCCTTGTTTGACATTTTTACGATCAAGGAGGGCACCTTGGACGTTGGATTCTCCTCCAACTTGGTGCTCTTTGGTCAGCCGGTGACTGCGTCGGTCCACTTCCTGATCATGGGCCTGCGCAGCGCATCAGTGGAAGGAACCTTGGCGGCGCAGGCAGGGCGGACTTCTTTGGAGTTTCTTTTGGGATGACTTCAGCCTTGTGGGGGTTTCCGTCCAGGAACCCGAAGTTAGGGAATCCAAAGACCGCTCGCAGGACCCCAAAGGCGTGCTCATTGGGCCGGCAGAGCACCAATTGGCTTTGCAGCAGGTGGGGGTGGGCGCCACCATTTTGCCTGAACCCGGGGCAATCTTCTTGGAAGGCTCTCTGACCTACCGGAACGCCAAGCTCAGTGCCAAGGTGCAGCTGGCGGAAGACCCGGATCTGGATGGCTTCTACTTCAAGATCGAGAACTCTTCCTTGCAGGACCGTTTTTTCGTTTGGAACGCCCAAAGAACAACTTTGCAAGTTGGAAACCACCCTGCCGTGAGAGGATCTCTTGGAGATGGGCGCTTTCCTTGTGGGCTTGCCTGTGCTGGAAATCCCCTTTGCCGACCAGATCATCGTGCAGTCTCTTGAGGCTGGGCGGGTCAGAGGCTCGTCATGGCGTGTTTTCAAGAACCAAGGGGTCCAGTTTCAACTGCGGTCGAAAATACGGGGCTTGGGAACCCGCCCAAACTTGGAGGGGGTCCCTGCCTCATTTTGAGACACACACACACACAGACGCGGAGACACAGAGACACACAGAGACACATAGAGAGACACAGAGAGACACACAGACGCACAGACGCACAGACGCACAGACACGCAGACACACAGACACACAGACTTATAGACTTACAGACACACAGACGCACAGACACGCAGACACACAGACACGCAAACACACAGAGACACAGACACACAACCACACAAACGCACAGAGACAGACACACAGACACAGGCGCACAGACACACAGACACACAGACACAGGCACACAGACACAGACACACAGACACAGAGACACAGACACAGACACACACACACACAGACACAGACACAGAGACAGAGACACAGAGACACAGAGACACAGAGATGCAGAGACACAGAGACACAGAGACACAGAGACACAGAGACACAGAGACACAGAGACACAGAGACAGAGACACAGAGATACAAAGACATAGAGTCACAGAGACACAGACGCACAGAGACACAGAGACACAGAGACACAGAGACACAGAGATGCAGAGACACAGAGACACAGAGACATGCAGACACAGAGACACAGTCACACAGACACGCAGACACACAGACACACAGACACACAGACACGCAGACACACAGACACACAGACACACAGACACACAGACACACAGACACACAGACACACAGACACACAACCGCACAAACGCACAGAGACACAGACACACAGACACACAGACACAGACGCACAGACACACAGACACACAGAGACACAGAGACACAGAGACACAGAGACACAGAGACACAGAGACACAGAGACACAGAGACATAAAGACACAGAGACACAGAGACACAGAGACACAAAGACACAGAGACATAGAGACACAGAGGCACAGAGACACAGAGACACAGAAACGCACAGACCCAGAGACACAGAGACACAGAGACACAGAGACACAGAGATGCAGAGATGCAGAGACACAGAGACACAGAGACACACGCGCAGACCCGCAGACACGCAGACACGCAGCACGCAGACACGTAGGCACGTAGGCACGCAGACACGCAGACACGCAGACACGCAGACACGCAGACACGCAGACTCAGACACGCAGACACCCAGTCACGGAGACACCCAGTCACACAGAGACCCAGTCACACAGACACCCAGTCACACAGACGCAGACACGCAGACACTCAGACACACAGACACACAGACACACAGAGACACAGACACACAACCACACAAACGCACAGAGACACAGACACACAGATACAGACGCACAGAGACACAGAGACACAAAGACACAGAGACATAGAGACACAGAGGCACAGAGACACACAGACACAGAGACGCACAGACCCAGAGACACAGGAGACACAGAGACACAGAGACACAGAGACACAGAGACACAGAGACACAGAGACACAGAGATGCAGAGACACAGAGACACAGAGACACAGAGAGACAGAGACACAGAGACACACAGACAGAGACATAGAGCCATAGAGACACGGAGATGCAGAGACACAGGGACACAGAGAAACAGAGACACGGAGACACAGAGACACAGACACACAGGCACACAGACACGCAGACACACAGACACACACACGTTACAAACACAAGCACACACACACAGACACACACACACACCCACACCCACACCCACACCAACACGTACACGCACACGCGCACGCACACGCACACGCAGACGCAGACGCAGACGCAGACGCACACGCACACGCACACGCACACGCGCACGCACACGCACAGGCACAGACACAGGCATAGGCACACGCACACGCACACGCACACGCACACGCACACGCACACGCACACGCACGCGCACACGCACACGCACACGCGCACACGCGCACACGCGCACACGCGCACACGCGCACACGCGCACACGCACACACGCACACACGCACACACGCACACACGCACACACGCACACACGCATACACGCACACACGCACGCACACGCACACACGCACACACGCACACACACGCACACACACGCACACACGCACACACACACCTACATACACACACACATACACATCACACATCACACATCACACATCACACACACACACGACACACACACACACACACACACACACGACACACACACACACAGACGACACACACACACACACACGACACACACACACACGACACACACACACACACGACACACACGACACACACACACACACGACACACACGACACCCACACCCACACCCACACCAACACCCACACCCACACCGCACACACACACCCACTCACCCACCCACCCACCCACCCACGCACGCACGCACGCACGCACGCACGCACGCACGCACGCACGCACGCACGCACGCACGCACGCACGCACGCACGCACGCACGCACGCACGCACGCACGCACACCACACACACACACACCCATCCACCCACCCAGGCACGCAACCACGCTCGCACGGGCGCGCGCGCACGCGCACGCGCACGCACCCGCGCACGCGCACGCGCACGCGCACGCACACGCACACGCACAGGCACATGCGCACGCACACGCACACCTGCACACACACACACACTTGGCTGAAAACTCAGCTACTGGTTGCGTCACTCCGTCCCGTTTGCGTTCAGTCGGCTGTCAAGGCTTATTATGGCGGCACCCTGGGCATGATCGTGGAGGGCGTGCAACGGCCCCCGGGCTTCGCCTTGGATGCCCGCCTGCTGATCTTTAGCCACGCGGTTTCCGTGAAGGCTGGGTTTCAAGTCACGTTTCTGTGAAGCTTCAAAGAAAGGGCCCCCTCCTCCTTTTGCACAATTGGCAACTTGCAGCGGGAGCGTGTCCTTTTTGCCAGCGCTGCGTGACTACATTTTTGGGAATGCAGTGGAGGGGTTTCCTTTGCAAGGTCTGCCGGTAGGAGAACCCGGAAGGCCTTGGTGTCTAAGACCGAGTTTGACTTCGAGGCGCGGATTCCACCCTTCCAGCTGGCCATCCTGGAGGTGTCGGGGTACAATGGGAAGGGAGACCTGGAGCTAGCATTCAAGCTCAACTCTGAGCATGTGGAGGTGGCTTTGGTCTCAAACTGTGGGGGGGGGGGGGGACTTGGGGTTTGGCGGACAGAACGACAAGCCCACCAAACGTGCCTCAAAATGAGGCAGGCGCCCCTCTTTCACGTGTGGTTTCTTGAACGTAACATCCAACTAGTTTCCAAAAGTCAAGCCCGTTACCATCAAGGTGTTGACACACCCAAACGCGTTGGAGAGCCCCAACCCTGAAGTTGTGGTGAGTTGGCGGGGTGTTTTTCAGGGAGGCAGGGCTGGAGCGGCGCGTGCAGGGGCCCCCATGCTTTGTTGAGACTACCCGCCTCTGACACATCTTTGCGAGAGCAACCGCCTCTGACACCTGTTTCATGTCTGTGAGGTGGAGGTGGACGGCGCTGTCCGCTTTTTGAGTCGGAAGATCCGTGCCCTGGTGGACGTGAGGCCTCCGGAGGCCATCGACTTTGCCTTCCAATTCGAGGCGGGGGGGTCCATTTTTTAACTTTTGGTTCCTCCCAAATCAGGGGGGGTGTTGAATTAGAGTTTCTAAATCTTCGGAACATCCCCCCTTTTTGGGAGGTCTTTGGCCTGGCTCTGGACATCGAGGCCCACAAGAAGGGCCAGGCGCGGTGTTTTGTCCGAGGCTTTGGCAACTTGCGCTTCACGCATGGCCAATTTTGCCGGGGCTGTTGCTGGTATTTCACTTCCCGGATTTTTCCAGCTCACGGGATTGCCAACTAAAGAGTCATGTGGGTGTATAGCTCTCAGAAACATAAGGTGTTTTGAAAACCGCTCAACGAAAAAACAAGACGTCCGAGAATCCAAACGTTCCCACGGCTGCACCTGCCTTTCAAGCTCGAGACAGGCCGTAGAGCTGAGCTTCGAGTTCGGGGACGAGCACAAGCGCCAGGCGGAGGAGGCCACGCTGCGGAACATGCTGGCAGCAGTGCAGAAGATGAAGGAGGACGCAGAAGCAGCTGCTGGGCTCTGGATCCGGCGGGGGGGGGGGGTTCGGTGCTTGCCTCACAGCACCCACTCATGCAGCAATCTTATTGCCATTCCTGGCTCAGGCCTGGTAGCTTTTGCATCTCTAGCTCAGAGACGACAAACCCCGCTTTGCTGACTGTGGTACAGTTCACACTTGTTCCTATTGGAACCAAGCACTGCTTACAACACATTTGGCCATTTACCTCTTCAGACATATTTGCCCTGTGCGTCGGAGTGGATCCCATGGGGACCTACGAGGTGTATTCCCGGGATCCTTGAGACCCCCCATTTACAACCCCAGTTGCGGTAGCGGAGCAGGTTCTCCGAACGCAGGGTGTCAACTGAAGAGCATTATGATGGAGCAGAACCACCCGCGTCGGCCGTCTTCGGAAGCCGTCATAACGGCGTGAGCTCCCATGACAAGACCACCAATCTTTCGATGAGTGCAAACCACCCGCATCGGCCGTCTTCGGAAGCCGTCATAACGGCGTGAGCTCCATGAGTGCAAACCACCCGCATCGGCCGTCTTCGGAAGCCGTCATAACGGCGTGAGCTTTCATGGCAAGACCGCCAATCTTTCGACGAGTGCAAAATTGCCTCCATCGTATGACTGCCGTGCCAGTTGATTTCGTATGAAGACATGGATGACACTCAAGGTTATAGAGCCCGCTTTTTAAGAACCGGATACTTCTTGGGTCATTGCCGAGGCAATTCTGAATTCGTGAGCTTTATCAGCAGGTTCAAGATTCTCCTGCGAAGACTGCGAGCATCTTGCACAGAGACCAGTCCTGAGTATATTCAGGCAATCAATGACGCGCACCGAGGCACGCACAGCCAGAAAACTTGGAAAAGTTTGTGCGAGGTAAGAGACAAGAGCATTCACAGGCTTTTCCACTGTCAGCCAACATGCTACAGAGTGAGCTGTCAGAAGGCCAGCGAGAACGCTTGGTATCTCGATTGACCCGTAGAGGTATACAGCTTCCTCACAATACATTTGTCAACCATGAGACCATAAAGGCCCAGTATTATGATCTTTTCATCATTTCCAAACCTCTCTTCAGGATCCAAATATCCCTTCAAGAGGCAGATCCAAGACCTTCTATATCCTTGACCAGCAGGATTTTGAGTGGAAGATGAAGATGGTCGATGCTTTTGTTCTGAAAAGATTTCAACGTCGGACTCAATAGTCCGGTAAGGGGCGAAAAGGCAAGAAAGGTAAGGGCGAGCGCCGAAGAGGCCGCTTTCAACCTTTCAAAAAACCACAATCAGGCTGCAAGGCCAACATGGCCGATGAGACCACCACCGATCAATGCAGGTCTTATTTACAAAACCATCTATCCGATCTCCACCAAAACGAATTCTGAGGTTGTGTGCCCTCGGACCAAAAAAACTGTAGCGGCCCAAAAGTCAGGCGGCCTATCCGCTTCTGACGGGGCTGGCCGGTCATGCATACTGGCTTCCGTTCCGCCAGATTCAGTGCTCTCAGCGCTCGTGTTGATGCTAGTAGAAGTACGGTCACCCAAAATGGATTGACCTTCGACAGAATTCCGCACGCGACACCAATTCGAGTTCAAGCTCTGGCCAGTAAACTCGTGGCGCCCATCATCAAGCAGGCCGAAGCTCCAACCAATGTCATTCTTGACCACGGTTGCGCGAAGTCCATGCGCAGTTGGTGTGCAGTGGAGAGATTCATTGAGGCAGTTGAACCATATCCGCACCGGATGAAGTATGCGTGTGTTCCGTGCAACACCAGGTTCACATTTGTTGCCAATGGTCAGACCTCTAAGGTTCAATACTTCACCATCTATGGTTAGAACAAGGACAAGTTCCGATTTTCTTAGCATTGATCATGTGCGGAAGCTTCACATCACGATTGAGCGCGCTCCTCAATGTGACAAGATCACACGCAACGCGTTCGGTGTGATTCCCATACCGGTACCCAGTAGCGGTCATGCGTTGTTCCACCCCGCAGCCTTTGCAAACAACACGACGCCAGGATGGCGAATAAGGCTTTCGACGACGACCAGATCAAGCCCATTGCATATCCATCACTGCTAGCCGCAGCATACCCAGCTGCAGCATCAAAGGAACCCATAGTAGTTCCTGCGCCGGCACATGTCAACAACGACCACCGGAGAATCAGTCACACCACCAAGGAACTCCATAGAGCTCATGTGTCTAAGAGGAGAGCGCTGTTCGCGCCTGACACAAGCAAAACTTGTCCAATATCACACACTACAACCAAAGAGTACTTAAAAGGTTCCAGGCAGAGACAAAAGCACTATTATCTTCCATTCAAAATAATTGGCGAACAGCCTCGACAGGATCCACAATCTTCAGCTTTTGACAAACCATTTACAGCAGAGCAAATTCACGTTGACAAGCCAGCAGACAGGATCATACCAGCGCCAGGCCGGCATGCCGCTGAGCCAAAAGATCCTGCTGCGCAACCACAAGCACACAGAACCACAAGTCACACTTCCACTTGCGCTGAGACTTATACACACACGACTCTCCAAACCAGAAAACTTAACCTGCAGCACCGCATGCCGGGAGAGCAGTTCAGATTCAGGACTCGCAACGATCTCCACGACAAGATTCTAGCAGAATGTGAACCTTGTCAGAAGGCGCCATCACGTAGCAAGACCAGTGGCCTCTGCGCAGAAGCGTTCGGCGAGTCAGTGTCAAGTTCCCTTAGGAACCCGTGAACACATCAGAATCAACGTTCTAGTGATCCTTGCCGGAGCCACAACACTTCTAACGACAGAAGTGGTAGAAAGAACAACTCCTCTGTTACGGAACAATTTGGATCAATATCATCGTCAGGCATAGCGCCAGCCTCACTGAAGGCCATAACTTACAAGCAACTTGTGAAGGCAGCAGCAACCGCAAGAAAAACCTCTCCGTGACATACGGAGGAGTCGCTCCACTTGAGCTCGCGTTCGGACGCAGGCCAGCAGAGCCTGTCCAACAGGACACAGCTACACTGCTACACCGCCGCAACTCACAATTCCAAGCACGGAATTTTTTTACTGCTGGACAGATTCGATTACTTGCAAAACAATCTTGTCAAGAGGCTCGACAATCTGAAGATGTCCGACGAGACCTCGCACAACACCTGCGCCTCAGCGCAAAGCCAATCGTAATTGGCGATAGAGTGTTCTATGGGGTGAAGATAAGTCAAAGATGAAACCTGACGGCTCGAAAGGCGGAATGTGGCTAAAGGATCCACAGATGGCACCATGGTTGGCATAGACCTTGGAACCAGACTGCTCAAGGTCAACATCACCAAGCTGAGGAAAGATGAAACCAAGTCGCCATCCGGACCTGGGCTTGACCTGCCCCCCTCCGATGATGATCTTCATAAAGACCTATTAGAGCAAGCCAAGTCAGGAGAACAACCAGCCAAACGAACAACTGAAAAGACAAAACCGGATCCACCAAGCTCCGCAGATCTGCGCACTCAGGATTACAGTTGTGAAGCTCAGTTTGCACATTGGAACTGCGTGACTAAAGGTGAGCCATGTCTTGGAGGTATTCGCTGGTTGCGCCCACCTACCGATCGACGTTCGGGTTGGTTTTGACATCATGACGTCAAAAGGATGTCAGATGGTATTGGCTATATTAACGTGAGCGACAACCAGATGTTGTATGGCTTGCGCCAGTTTGTGGACCCTGGTACATCAATGATCCGAAGATTGTTCTTGCAGAAAGAGGGCCAGGTACTTGACTATGATCGACTTTTCAGCTTCGATCGAAAGATACCAACAGAACCGAGGACTCTATTTCATCATTGAGAATCCTCAGAGATCCAAGATATGGACTCTTAAGCCCATCATAGATTTGATGAAACATGCTCAGGTCACTTGGGATGACCTTGATGTTTGTGCGTTTGGTCTTTGCGACCTGGCACCAAGCTTAGAAGTTTGAAACCAACGAAGTCTGAGTCCAATATTCAGAAGGTGCTCAAAAAACCTTGGTAAGGAAAAGCGCCGGCTCTTCAACAAACTCGTACCAGTCATTCGATGTTGATGGTGGTACTGTGGTTTGACGTCCCGCGGTGGCTGGTGGGTCTGGTCTTCGTGGCTGGCGTGTCTTGGTCAGGCTGATCTGGTGGATCATTGCCGCCATCACCGTCGTGATCGCCCTGGTCCATTGGCATAGGCCGAATGGCGCGCGCGCCACTGTGTCGGATTATAGTTGTTCCAGTCATATCTGTGCGCTGGTAAAATCCAAAGCTTGCCCGGTGTGTTGACTTGCCACAAAACAAGGCCGTGGTCAGCGGTGTCGTCAACGGCAAGTTGATGCCGATCGTGCGGTTGCACATGACGCACTTGTTGTTCGGTGCGGGGGTACAAAGATACCGCAATCTTCTTGCGCCAGTATGAATGGCAAGAATCCGTGAGTCACATTTGTTGGAATATTCAATATCAAGCTGTGTTCCTGGCAGGAACTGCTTAATTGCTCGTTGAAGCTTGGTTACTTCCTTGTCATCAGTGTAAAGTGGATCTATCTGGTTATTGAATCAATGGTCTGGTGCTGGTCATGTTGTACTCCGCGTTGACCGTGTCCAACTCTGATCGGATGTTGGAGATGTCACTGTCTGAGAGTGGTTCTTTGAGGAGAAAAACCTTACATTCTCCAAAGGTTTGGCCTTTAAAAATCTGAGGCGAATTTGTGCCTCCACCACCTCCGATCTCCTCACCAGGACCAAGTTTTTCACCAGGCACTCCGCCTTCACCGGCGCAACAAGATGATCCTGGAAAAGAAGAAGAATCCTCCGAGGAACTTCAACACCAAGCCACTCATAGGAAAAAGCCACTCCTAGGGAGAAAAACAAACGTCGCGACCCCTTTTTTGAGGTCTTTGTTTTCCACCAACCAGGCAAAAATATGTTTTGCTGGGGTCCTAATTTCAGCCTACATTCCACATCAACCTAAATGGCTGCAAGGAAAAGCTCGAGACATAGTCTCTCCCCCATTTCTAGGA